CGCCCCAGCAGGGGTCGGCGGATTAAAAAGACCCCCCTAACATTAAAATTGATGTCCGGGGGTTTGATTTTAATATTAGGGGGTTTTCGGCGCCTTCGGATTGACAGTAATAGTTCAATGAACCAGACAGTATCTTCAACGTCATTATATATAGATACATACATACATATGTATTAAACTTCCTCGACTCCTAGCTGCTAGTTTTCTTGAGCCTGTAGCCTCCATTTCTATTTAAAGCCCTCATTAAACCTTGAAGTCCTAAGCCCTAAGCCTTAAACCTTGAGCCTTAAAGCCCCAAACCTTAAGCCCCAAATCCTAGAGCCCTAAACCCTAAAGCCCTAAGCCCTAAGCCTTGACCCCTGAAGCCCTCAGCCCTAAACCTTCAGCCCCAAGCCCTCAGCCCCTAAGCCCTAAACAGAGAAGCGTGATTCAGCAAACGCCGGCCGAAGTCGGCAAATCGAGTCAGCAAGCAGCCAGCTGCGAGTCAACATCTGTAGGGCTGCATGTCAAAAACCAGGCTTCCCAAAGGGTTTAGGGTTTAGGGTTTAGGGTTTAGGGGTTTAGGGTTTAGGGTTTTGGGTTTTGTGACTTCCGCCTCTCCTGTTTGCCGACTCTCCCCCCGATGTTTTTGACTTTCTTTGCTGACACCGGCCCTGCCCAAGCCCTAAAGCTCTGGTACTTTCGGACTCATAAGTGCTGTTTTATTCTTGGCTCTATTCAAGCCAATACAATTCTAGGCCCCCTGAATGTTTTTAATTAACTTTCAAACGTGGCCCCGAAACCGCAAAATCCCGGGGCCGGGAGGGGTTTAATGTTAGTGGGAAGCGATTAAGCTGGGTTTCCGTAGAGCGATAGACTAGAGGAACACGAAAATCGAGAATCGCATGTCATGTGCACGTCGCCTGGGCCGTTGGTGGCACATGCTGTGGAGAGCGATTTCCCGGGCATGCGTTGAGTCATATGACCTCCCAAGTTCCAGTGTATTGCTGGCCTCTTGGGGCCTGAGGCTTTCCATGGCGCCAGAATACCACACAGTGCTCTCCTGAATCGGTATGGGGACGTGCAGCCCGGCAATGGCGGCACCTACATTAGCAAGGCCAAGGCGGCGCTGTGCTCCGAATCGCAATGTCCCAGTATGCTTTTGTTGTAGTGCATGTGGGCACAGACAGGGCCTGACGAACATGGGCATGATCGGTCAGCGCCTCTTCAGTGGCCGTGTCGCTGTAGCCTGGGCCGCGCTGACCTTCACCAGAAAGCCACCCGATCGCATCAAGTGTACCAGTGCAGCATGGACTGAACATCGGCACTGCAGACTGCATGACTCAGCAGACCTTGCAAACCGTTTCAGCGACAAGCAGAGCCTGTCGAAGTGTGGAGAAGAACCTGCATCTCCTACATCTGCGCGGTGCTTGTTTACGTTTGGAAGCGGAGATGACGAGAGAAAGAGATATACACGCATCACGGCCATTGCTCTTAGACTCGGCTTAGAAGCTCCACTAACTTTGCCGCTCCGTTAGTCTCATTGCAGCGGCACAGGTTGTACGAAATGACTCGCCAGTATTCTGATCACAAAAGGTGTGAGGACCTCAGTCTCCGGGTTCGGTTCTGCCAAACACTTTAGGCCAATGTAGATATCGAATTATGGTTTGCTATCATTCGCTTGTGTAGCTGTAGGCTGGGCGCCGAAAGGCACCTCCAACTTGACAAGCGTTCCGCAGCTGAACCACCTGTCCCTTGACTCTACTGTGAGTGAGTTGTCCGGAAAACCCCGAGCGGTCGGAGAGTTGCAGTTGCGCTTCGTGCATGACAGGTATGCGAGAGCAGACTCCAATTTGGCACAGCTGGAAAGCTTCGTTGGGGAGTGCGAGCGGCAATTAAATGATTGCTCTCCGTCTGCACTATTCAATGCTCAATGTGCAAGTCAGTTGTTTGTTGCCGACTTCGTTCCCGACTGCTTCGTTGGCCTGAGTCTCGTGAAAGCCACCTTGTGTGGTGGGGACAGGTCGCTTTGCGCAAGCCTGCATAAGTCCACCTATGCCAGCCTTCTTGACCCTTGGGAAGCCCCGTCCTCGCAGCTGTACCTCCTTTCCGCATGTTATGATTATTCCCCCGGCGCAGCGCAGGATAATCAACACGGAGTCAGGCTGAGAGCAAGTGAGTCCACTCTCCGCCATGGGAGAAAGCTACAGAATAGAATCATGCTTTCGTCCCTCCCCCATTTCCAGCGTGGACCCGTGGACGTGCCACACGGCCACGAGCCGAAGCATACCACCAACACTCATCAACCACACTTCAGGCCCCAGCCAGCGAGGTCGTGCGGCCCCGGGACTCGCCCAACCCCGTAACTGCTGTCCAGGCCTTCGGAAAGATGAGATACCTTCTGTGGCACTCCAGGAAGCGATCGCATGCGCCAAGATCGTTGCAAGTGTCATCCATCTGCAACAGTCACAGTTTTATGCCTTTTGTCTACGTGAATTCCGTTGCGAGAAAGAAAGAAGACGCAGTTGCTTTATGCGCTTGAGGAGACCAGCATCGATCTCTGCTTTCGCCTGAAGCAAGACGTTGGATCCCATGCTCTGATGGGCGATACAGGCTTCGAGCAGATGGACTTCCTGCAGGAGCCCGATTCAAAAGCATGGTAGCTCACAGTGATCCAAAGGGCCTGCTAATGAGGGCTTTGTCACCGGTATAGCCTGTTGCGAAAAAGCTTAACTCGTTTAGGCCGTTTAGGCAGAGGCACAGAGACACAGGGACACAGACACACAGACACACAGAGACACAGACACACAGAGACATGCACAGAGACACAGCGACACAGACACACACTTATTGTGGGATTTCGACGAGAGCAAGAGGCAAGGAGAGACGAGGGGTGAGGCGGGGTGTTGTTGTTACTGTTGTTTGTTTCACACAAGCAACAGCTACTGCAAGGCTGATGGTTGTTTCAAAAGCCACAGCTACTGCAAGACTGATCTGGACACCACAGGGAGCTGTCCTTGCTATCTAATCTCGGCACCTCAGGGGGCTGCCTTGCAGGTACGTCTGGCTGATCAGGCCAGATATCACCATGCGCTGACAGTGTCTTTTGAAGATGAGCTTCTGTTTGGCTTAGCCCCTCGCCATGACATGCAGGTACGTTTGCAGCTCTTGTCACTGGCCTCTTCGTTGGCCATCCACCAATGTCGAGAGATGGCCCTGCCCCAGTCCGCCCACCCGTCCGCCCTCCCGCCCCGCATGCCGGCATTCCCACACGTCGCACGCCCGCACGCCCACAAACACCCACCTTTCATTGGAAACAAGATTCAGGCATCGACGCAGAACCTGCCCTTGAACCCACAGCCTGTGAGGCGTGCAAGTTTGCAGAAGGCGACTCCAGGATTCTGATGCAGAAATTGGCCCGCGACCGTGTCAAAACATCGAAAGCCATTGGCTCCAGCTTCGTGCCTGCAATCGTCCAGCTGCAAGATGATCCCGTGGTGGGCATGCATTTTCCTGCTATCCTCAGGCGAGGAGCAGCGATTGACAGCAGAGCTACAAGCAGCTTTGAAGGGCGGAGCTCAGGCAGAGGGTTCGGCGCTTGCCATGACCGTTGCCATGACCCCGCATGTAAAGCAGCCCAGCCATGCCATGAGGCATGGGATGAGAACTTTGACAAGGTGTATGACCTGGCATGGCACGTTGTGACCCGCAACATTGATACCTTATGTCCAGGTATCTTGCCCACACTTTCACAGAAAGGGTCTGGAGTCTGGCGGCTGGCACGGCATCTTTGTGGTTTTCTTTGTTTTGGCTTGTACTCACATCGCCAAGGTGCCACCCTCCGACTTCCTTGTGGGCTGTCGAAGCTGTAAAAGGTGCACTTGACATGTTCTGACCCCACTGGAAGCCCAGTGGTTCATTGTTGTCTTTTTGTGTCTTGAACTCCGGTCATACCATTGGCAGGATTTCAGGCTTGGGAATCTCTTTTAACTCGATTCCAGAGCTTTTTCTACACCGTTAAGAAGGGCACACGTTTCATCAGTCATCCAAACGCATGCAGAAGGCATGCCAGAAGGAAGCCAGCGGCATAACAGCTTGCTTTTGAATCATCTCGCGATGCCGCAAAGCGGTTTTGTTGCTACTTGAGCAACTTCGGCCGCAAAGGAGGAGCAGCAAAAGTCACAGTTCAGATGAAGCTCTGGAGGACCCCCCGAACTTGGGGCAGCCATTTGCGAGGCCTGTATGGTTCGCATGCGACGCCGCGGCGTTGTCCCTGACCTGACTTGCCGATCACTTGGCCTGATGGAACAAACGAATTCCAGCTCACCTGTACCTCTGATATCCTGTGATTGAGGTTACAACTCTTTGCTGCACGCCTTTGCTAGGGCAGCCCTTCCAGTCCAGGCCGCGTTGACATTCTCCGAATCTTGCGGAGACCTCACAGAAGGGCGACATGGCTGCTCGCAATTGAACAAAATGATGCGACCAGGCGCACGCATCCTTGGCAGATTTACGCAGCCAGGCGCTGCAGCCGGTGCCGGCCCAAGCCTACAGCCGACCCAGCCGTAGAACTTCGAGGGAGCTCTTGCGCGGGGCGTGGGAAAGGATGTGATCACCTTCAACACCTTGATCAGCGTGCCGGGCTTTTGCCACCGTCCGGAATCCTTCGGAACTTCCTGAAGCGACTCACTCACCTCGTCTCAGGCTTACGGTGGCTCCAGGCCAGGCCCAGTGGCAGCCACTGGCAGCCAGTGGCAGGGGGGGAGTTTTTTGTTGGTTTTTGCTGTCTCAGGGAGTCGCTTCAGTTCCTCGAAGTGCTCTTCCCGGTTTTGGCAACTTTTCCTTGTTTCGCCTGCGCTCCCAGCGGGTGTTCGAAGCTGCCCAGGAAATGGAGTTTTGCTCCGTCCAGCCTACCGCCACAAGCTTGTCAAATAGCAGTCGGATGATGCAACAGGAAGGCGACGATGGTTGCCGCCCAAGGCTAGAACCTACGTTGCCTTGGCCTCCTCCTTTGAACGATCTGGTCGGTGGCAAGCAGTGGAGGTGAGCTGCATCCCACTTCTTGGTGCGGCTGTTGATCTGGATCGCAAGCAGCAGCCGGTCACGTTGCACATTTCGGCTTTTGATTCACAGCTAGCGAGCAAACGTTCTCAGATATCTGATTCTTCTGAAACAGGATCCCCTGCCCGGAGCGAATCCCAACAGGTCCAAGAACTTCAGGCCCGAATCCTGATATCTATCAAGAATTCAGCTGGCAGCACGCAGCATGCCCTTTGATGCAAAGTACTTGCCTGAAAACCTTCGCCTGCAGCTCCTGAAAGAGGCTGCGTCATGTGCCCGGCCGAGGGCGACTGGTGTCCGGAAACCGCTGGTTCGTTTGTGAGGCGTTGCGTCTCGACCCCGACTTGAGAGAAGAGGACTTGTTGCTCCCTTGGTGCACCAAGACCAAACTCCCAAAACACGGCGGAAACACGTTTTGAGCACAGGTCCCGGGGTGTCATCCTCCATTTGGATGTCCGGCACTTTTAAGACGTGTCATGCTGAAGCTGAGGCGGTAAGCTGACCAGAAAACAATGTTCCAAGGACCTTCCAGAGCAGATGAGCCGGGCAATTTCGAGAGAAGTGCGCTGCTTGAAAGAAGCGCGTGAGTGCAGAGTCAGAATCAGAGCTGGGGGAGGCCTTCCTTCGAGATCTGCAGTGGTGCCCACGAAATTTTTTGCACAGGCGCCTTGGGCGTGCCACGCTCTCGCGTTTTTCAGCGCTCAGCCCGGAGACACAGGTATCGCCTTGCTTTCAAGGACCTGGACGACATCCCCAGAGAGGTGGGCTCTTAGCGTCCCGGCTCGTATCATATCGATGTCAAATTTCATTTCTTGATCGCTGGTGTGGCAGGCCATTGCACCTTTGCCAGACGATCTTCGAGGGTGCAGGGCTTGCAGTTAGACAACTTGGTTGTGAGACTGCATGTGCAGGGCCCTGGACAAGCTCGAGCCCTTGGATCCTTGGCTTGGTTCCCAAGTTCTGGTCTGTGGCAGAGCGCATGGAGGGGATGGTTCTGAACCATAAGGTCTGCATCTGTCATGGCCCAATGGTTGGCAGCGCACCGAGACATGTGGCATACCGACTCCGGAGTCATCAGTAATCCCTCATGGCCCTACTGGCCCTAATTCATTTGGCGCGTGGTGGCCGGCTCCCGTCAACCGCACCAGCGACTTCCCTGGGCTGGTTGACAAGACCCTGTGGAGGTATGTTCAGGTGACACAGCAGACGAGGGATGTCTTCTTTTCAAAACAGAGGAACAACCCGAAGGAAGCTTTCATCGCATGCTGAATGCTGAACCGAAGAAAGCATACAAGAGGATCAGTCAACGGCTGTCATGTCCAGCACGCGCCGTGCAGAGCAAGCAGGATAGCTGGAGGTCCAGGTTAGCCTTTGGACCAGAAGGTGATGGCGGTGACACAAATCGGCTGCAGAGTGGGGCTGCCCAGGATCCTGCTTGGCGCTGCAAAGCCTGGGACGAGATTGATGTCATGCCTAAGGCTCGACAGAGCTTTCAAAGTCCAATGTGGCAGTATGGGCACGTGAACAGGGGATCTCTGACGAGAACATCCGCAAAGAAAGGCATCCGGGATCGACGAGTGTAGCGGCGGTGACTCAAATCCTCGATGTGAGGGAAGAGAAGTATCCTGATGGTGTACCTGCTGAGGCTGGGTCTGGTGGTGTTGTCTGTGCAAAATCTTTCTGAAAGTCATGGCAGCGTTCCTGAATTCAAGGTCCGAGAACGACGAGTGGATCCTTTCGATGGCCAGCAAGCATCTCAGAGGAAGCCCTTGTGACCTGCACCAATACGCAGAATAGTCACATTCGGCCGCAAGGCACGGGTCTTCTTAAATGCCCTGACATGGCTCCAGGCGTTACTCCCTTGCAGAGCTGATAGCGAGCCTAGTCAGCATTCAAGTCGAGGAGTCGTGAATCGCAGTGAATCTGACCTCGGCCAAGCACTTTCGTTTGGCTGGGCTTTGTGCTAACAGGCAGGCGGGGACTACGAAAGGCAGTCTTTTAGTTGACTGGTGGACATATAGAAGATGCTGAGGAAATACAGAAATGAATACCACGAGAAAGATGTCAAGTCGTACTGGAAGACGCCCTGCTGCAAGAGTTCAGACCATGTCTCGAGCATGCAGCCTGCAGGTGCAGGAACTGATGGTTCACCAAACACAGTTTCCACCACCTCGAGCTGGCAGGAATGCTATGCGACCCAACGAATACAAGGCCCGACAGCCAGCGCTGCTCCTGCCATCAATCCCAATCATCTCGTCATGCTTTGAGCAATCGTTGATTCATGACGTGCAAGATTCAGCGGATGTCAGTGGTGCAGAGGTCGTCGATTGAATTCCTGGGCTAGCTTGCTGCTGCTAAGATCAATTGTACATATACGACGATTTGTACCCCACGCAAGTCGCTCCTGCACAGACCAGCAGCTTGAAGTCTGCCCCTGTCGCTTCGTGCGTAGATACGGGCGAGTGCTTGACACCGCAGCATGCGAATATCTGAGCACACCTGGATCGGCCCTTGCCTGAACGTGACCAGGAGGCTGTTCGGACATCAAATGTTGGGAGAATTCTTTCTGCCATGTGCAAACGACAGCCGCGTCGAAAGTCAACGCTTAATTCTCCCAAGCGGGGCCGATGACAGCATCAAGTATGTGGGAGCCTCTAGAATTTAGAAGAAAGCCGCACAATTGACTCGTGAGATAGAGCATGCCCCCCTCTTGCTGCACAACATGGAAGTTCGCGTAATATCGGACAGCGAGCACAGGAGGGTCCTGCCACAGACTGAGCCCTTGCACAGCCTGAAACGATGCAGCCTGCTCATGGCTGTAGCTGGATCGTGGACACAGCGAGTGCGGGTCTTGGTGGGTCTCAGCCTCCTTCGGCATTCTGCAACAGTGAAAACAAGTGACGTGGGCGATTGTGGCTGATGTAGATCTCTGTCACAAGCGAAGACACGCTGCTTCGCCTGCTTGCCCGCGTAATTTGCTCAAGCTTGCACACGGGCGGAGCGTGCCCGACGAGACTTGGCTGCTTTCGTTAAATGATCTTGTTCTGCCATGCTAGCTCGGTGTAGGCACGTTGGCAGTCGCACGCATGTTTCGGCTTCCTGCAGGTACCTGCTCAAGGCCGGTGGGCAGCTGGCAAGGCGAGCCGAGGCTCTCCCGCCTAGCTCAATGTGACCCTCGAGCCTTCACCCACTCAGGTGCTGAGCCATGTTCCCGAGTTTTTTATGCGGTCGGGTCCCGAGAATTCAGCAGTGCTAGACGCGGGCTTCTGCTCGTGCAACGCTGGGTACGGCAAGAGAGTGATGAGTTGAACGTCCTAAGCGCACGATGTTTGGGGGGCTGCCTGCGCAACTTTGAAGGCAACTACTCGGAGAACGGCAGCAACGCAGACGCCGCTTTGGATCGGCTGCTCTCCAGCTACAAGCTTCCTGCCTGCATCGGGGCAAGTTTCTCATGAGCGAACATGCCTGGAGCAGGCACAATTACATGTTCGGAGTACGCAGCGCAGCTTTTCATTTTCCATCCCTCAGACAAGTCCGAACTTGTGAATTTGTGCGTACTGATCATAAACATGCAAGCTCTTCTTATTGATCAGCTGCGCCAAGGAAGTTGATTGTTGAAGGCGGATATGTGGACACAAAGACAGAGACAGGCGCCGCCGTGTTGCGTGTACACTACATGCAAATGGAAAAAGAGGCATTCAAATGCTGGCTTTGGGGGACACCTAAGTTCCTTCGTTGACATATATCTCTGAACTGAGGCAAGCATGCAACTGATAACTCATGTTCCAGCCGCACCCTCCCGGCGCAAGGCTTCAATGCCACAGCGATTTTTCTGGAGAGTCGCTTCCTGAAGATATCCTGCTGTGCGTGTCGTAAAGTTGGTTTTGATCTTGGCCTACTCTGCGGGGAGGACCTGACTTGCCAAGCCAGGTTTGGAGGCAACAGCCCGAAGTTTGCGGCTGGATCCTGCTTCCCGATCGCCGCCTTCCCAGTTGAGATCAAATTTCGCAGGCGGTTCATGCCAGGACCAGCAAGCAAGCATGCAAAATGAAGGATTCAAGAAAGTGTAGGTGTGCATCCCAGCGCGAATGTCAACTTAAAGCCCGAGAGATGCCAAAGAGGTATCGTTCCAGCTTCACGATCAACTATCGTGCACTTTTTCCAGACGAGCAGCTTGGTAGAATCAATGACGCAGGCGAGTCCTGCTTCTTGAGCCCTCGGATAGACTCGGAGCTCAGGTCTCGAAACTATCGCGTCGACATTCTTGAGGCCAGCATTGAACAGAACGCCGTCATTTGGGCCCCTCGGCAGCCTTCGAGGCGCTTGGGAGTGCTGGGATCGACATGACACATCGGAGCCCGAGGTTAATGGTGACAAGTTCGAGTTCAGTCAGGAGGCTTGATGGGAAACGAGACCTGCTTCACAGAATGGGGAGATCTTGTGCACAGCACCATTGCCCATTGGCACAGCCAGCTGGCTGGCCACACTCTTTCCCTTTGAAATTGCTGCGAGTTCGCCCAAATCTCTTTGTGAACGCAGATGACATTTGTCGATGTCAAAAAGGCCATGCACTGTGCAGAAGACCTTCAGCGCGGATGGTCTGACATGTGCTTGCTCCTAGACCGTCGGGAGCTTCAGTCCAGATTCTGTCACGTTTGCGAAAGGCATCTGCTTGGCCTTTGCCCAGGCTGGCAGCCAGGTGCAGGAGGTGATCGCCCTGAGCGAACAGAGGTGCGCTCAGCCTTGGCCGGCACCTTAAGGAAAATCACTCCGGGAAAGTTTAAGGATTTTCTGGTGGCTGCATCATCTTGGCCGTGCACCTCTGCACAGTCTGCGGCCCTCACCCTGTGGCGGCTACTTGAGGTGGCTTTGGATGCTGCATGGGCGTCTTTCGAGAAGAAGTATATCAGTGAACTGATCCAGATTGAGGATCAGGCCAATCGGAGCTCAAGCGGGTGCTGGAGACTGTCTGCATAAGTCTGACGGTTTGATTGCTTGAGCTTTGCAGGCCCGCAAGTTGATAGTCCAGGCGGTGGAAAGCGAAAGGCGGCATAAAGCTCTGGCTTGGACATTGTTGGGTGAGAGCGAAGTATTTGCAAATGAAGGGGTACTCAGCCTCCTTGAAAGGCGACTTCGGGATCTGGAGGCGCGATATGGAGAGACAGAGGCCTTCGAGCTGCAGCCGCAGGAAACGCGACCGTGGTGCTACATACAATCTGCAGTGCACAGGCTCTGCTGGCACGTCCAGAGTACCAGTCCGAGCAGAGGCTCGATTAGAGTCTTGAGACTTGAGATTGCTCTACGTGCTGTAGGTGCTTTACGCTGCATTTCGTAGCGGCAGCTGTTTGCTTCTGCTTGTAGGAAGCTAGTGGGGTCCATCTCGTATTTGAACTCAGCCGCGATCTCAGCACCAGCAAGCGCCTTTAGTCATATGCACCATGACATGGTTCGTTAGGTTGCGAATTTCCGTCGAAAGGGTCGCGATGACCTCCCGGCAGAGGTTCTGCAGCTCGGCCAGGAAGCATTTGGTAAAACCAGTCAAGAAGAAGTCCGGAAGCTGCCCTCTGTTCGGCAGCTGGACGTACCCGGCTCGTCTTGACCATAATCAGTTTTTTCGCCAGGTTTGATGCTGTGCGGACTATACAGCGCTGCGATGCAGCCGAAAGGACGTCGGAACACATCCACTCTGGCATTGGATGAGTTGGTTGATGGCATGCCCAGTGTCTGTTCTGCCTCCGGCGAGGAATGGCCAGAGCACCGAACTGTCTGCAGCAGCAAGAACTCTCTGTGGTGACGTCGTGGAGCTGCTTGGGCGATGACAGTGAGCTTTGGCTTCGTGCATCCCAGCACCTTCTGCATGCCGCAATCTGTATACAGAGAGTGAGTAATCAATCCGAGTCGCATTCAATTTCGCAGCGACGTTCTTTTCACGGCTCTGCCTCCCACACGTTTTCTCTCGCGTGGCGGCTTCGCTTGCCTGGAGGTCCTTTGTGGCCATGCGGTTTTATCTGAGAGAGATTGGCAAGTGCCCCTGAGCGGCAAAGAAGGAAGACGCATGTAACAGCCGCGTTTGCCTGTCTCTGTGTGTGTTTGTAAGCGCAGCTCTGAGGCCTCGAAAGAGTCGACCCGCATCTTTGCAACAACGCCGGTCTCGTGACGAGATTGGTGGCTGCTCGGATGCCTTCGACAAGGGCCCTCGGGAAGGCAGCCAGTCGGGCCTGCAACTTGCTCTGCTTGCGCTGAGGATTGGGAAGAGAGCTGGGAAGTGGGCGCACGCTATGTTCAGAACGAGCAGCTCTTGCTTCTTTGATCATGAACCGGGCAAGAAACTGCTGATGAGTATTGTCTTCGACTGGAAGATTTGAGCAACTCAACACTTGCAGACCCGTGAGGAACGGCATTTGTGATCTGGTCGCCGAGATTCGCCTAGCTCAGCATGTGGCACCAAATCTGCGAACCATGTGCAGCTTGGCGTCGGGATCGTACCCTTTTTAGCTGATGACGGGTTGAGCCTGCATTCTTGCGGGCGACCATATACAAGCACCTATGACCTATGACCGTCTATGCGCAGGTGAAGAGTGCGATGTGGACCTGTTCCTGGTGATGCCACGAGTCATTTGGCTGCGGGGCTTGATCAAGCCACACAGTCAGATACAAGTGCCTTGGAGAGACTAGAGCTGTTTTCGCTCGCGAACGTCCTCACGGAAATATTCTCAAGATCTCCACATCAATCTTGCGAAGGTCTTCAAGAGCTTGCTCCCACATCGGTTTCTTGATCCACCGCTAGTGGGCGACACCTGGAATGTGGATACTGAATTAGCCAGCTTTGCCGCTAAGCAGCGATGCCTCATCGCGTTCGTTTCTCACATGCTCTTGTTCCGACGAGCCTCGGGGAAGACATTCAGCCAAGGTGGAGTTTTTCAAGGCAGTCTATGCAACATTGATGAGCAACTGGCGGTCTGCGTCACGCGTGTCCGAACGGGCAGCGTGGGATGCCTTGGAAGCATGCAGTGGTGATGGGTGGTTCGGGGTTGGTCGTATTCCGCCCTTTACCAGCTATGCATGTACGGCACGTCTCAGGAGATTCTGGTTAAGCGGGCTTGGAACTTAGACTCAGACACTTAGAAATTTTGACTGAATGAGCTGCGGGAAAAAGAAACACGCTCGTCGTGATGAGGTTGTCAACGGCGATGGCGAGTCTGATAAAGAGGACGGACACATCAGATCGTGAAACCTGCTTGACTGAGGGCAGTTCTATTCCAGGGCGCTGGCTTTTATTCATTCGCGAGATGCTTCAAGATATGCTGACACTGTTTGAGAACCTCATTTTGCTGAAACCGATTACGTGTGATGGTGCGCTCTCTGAGCCTTTGAGCTGCAGGACATTTATGGCGTCCTTGCTGGTGGAGTCAGGCAGCAAGCTGAAGCAGCAGTGGAGGAGCTGCATCCTAGCACATCCTTGTCGCATCCTTCCGTCCTTTGCGCCCTCCTTTATCCACAGGGCATGCGAGGGAAGCGGGGAAGCAGGGTGATTCTGTGCTCATTCTAGGAGTTGGTGAACAAGATGGAAGGCTGGAGATGCTCGGACTGCACCTAGCGACTTCTGGACGAGCCACCCAGGAGAGCATAAGGCCCACTGTCAGTCAAGGCATGGAGCTGCAGAGACACTGTGCAGAAGACTGGAACCAATTCGCAGGGATTCTCATACAATGCTTGTCCGTGCCCTAGTGGTCCCACGACTTCCAGCGCATGTGTAGCAGGTAGGTCGACCACTTTCAAACGGATGCCACGAGCACAACAGCGATTGTTGTCCATTGTGTGTAAGGTCTGGTGAAAGAAAGAAAGATGCATCGCAGATGCAATTTCAGGCATCTAATGGACGCTCCACTTGTGCAATCCCTTTTATTCTCGTGCCAGTGCCGATCATGCTGCGCGAGGTCTGACGGCGTACTTCCATGCCCGACGGAAGGACAACATCAGTCAACTTATGAATCGTTGTAGCATCTTCGACATATTTCTGCCGTAGCTAGCCGTTACTCAATGCTCGCAGTTGGTTTCCAGAGGAGCTCCATTGGCTCCACTCGCCACAGACTATTGGGGTTGCGATCCATTCGTGCCTTAAAGGCATTGGATTCCCCGTATCACCTTAAAGTGTGGCAGGTCCCTCTCCGAATGTTTAGATCAAGACTCAGAGCCTGTGATGGTTATAGCTTCGGCTGCAGCCGGCATGCAAATTGGCAAATCGAGCTTCAAAACGCAAGCGAATCACAACTCTGAGTTTTTTCATTACGCACGCTCTCAACTGCAACGGGCTGAAGTGGTTGAAGCCGGCCTTGGTTTTGGCCCAGTAAGTTGGAGTACCCTGCGTATGTAGCTTGTCCGACTTGCTCAGATATATACGCGCTGTCGCCCGGGGGGGGGGCGGCGGCGTATGCTGTTTTAGCGAAACCATTCAGGGATGAGGACAAGTGATTTGTGTGTGGATCTGCGTCTCACATCCGCAATGTTACTATGACATCCACGCCTGCGACGATGGCATGGCACCGGATGTCTGCAGACATTGGCTGGACGATTTGCATCTCGACCTGACAAGAAGGCGGGATAAGCAACCTCTGAGTCGGGGCAGTGCCGTGCCAAGGGCAAACCGAGTTCTTTCAGAAGCTTTCGTTGCACTTAGAAGAGTTTGCTACGAAGCTTGTCTCGGAGGTTTCGTAAGACTGGCTGCTTGGCTAAAGGCCAAGGCGGCAAAGTATACAGGGTTGGTTTACGCAGTCTAACAGAAACCAGGTGCAGAATGCAGTCGCAACGAAGCACGCCGAAACCCTTTCAAGAAAAACGTGTGTCTTAGTGGGTTTTTGTTTGACTGTCTTTGCTGTTGCTGCTGTTCACAGCCTGCACCACCTGAAGGCCAGGCTATCAGAGTGTAGTCATGGCTGTCTGAATGTGTAAGCCATTGGTCGGAACATGTCTCAAGGTGCTCAAAGCACTAGTTTAAGTTTTGCCGTTCGTGATGGCACAAGCCATTTGCGCGACGGGACGCGAAGATGTGGGAAACATGAGATCTGCTCTGCTTGACAGCGTCCTGTAATTGTGTAAATGTCACGAGCCCTTCGCCCCTGGACGTGGGCGTCTTCTGCAAGTTAGGCCTCAGTTCAAACCAAGTGCTTGCCCTCGAAGCACTGCGCGTGATTTGAGGCTGTATCTCTCGGCACAGGTCTCAGAAGAGCAGGATTCATGCCTCGATCTGGCTCGACACTGTACCTCGTTCCCAAGGCCATCGACGGCAACTGGCACCTTCCTTTGTGGAATGCTCGCAGTTATTGGAGGCCTTGTTTGTGCGCAAGTTGTTTTTGTATAACACAGCTCTACAGTAGCTGGCTGCAGTTGTCTGTTCCGTTGCTGGGTCGGCAAAGAAACCTGGGGCCCACACCAGCAATCGATATTTAGAGACATGTCTGGGGGGTGTTAGGGGTATGCTTCCTCCGAGCCCTGTGCGGATTAGGCTATCAGGGAAGGCTCAGAGGAATGACGAACGAAGCACCCAGCAGTTATGGAAGTGGACTCAACGCCGCTGCTGCCATTGTCCCAGCTGGTCCCAGCTTTTGCCCGGCAGTAGCCGCTTCAAGCAGCTGCGGCAGACTGCCTGCATGGTCGGCACTGGTACTTGCATGTCCCCGCGATCGAATGCACACTGCGGGAGGCCTGGCATACCCTGGTCTCCGAACTCCAAACCAGAAGACACAGAAAAAAGTAGAACGGTGTTTGAACGAAATCTGGGCTTGGACATGCGGTGTGGGTCGGCGGGGTTGAGGGTTCCCCGCAAGCACGCAAGCTTGCAGCAAGGCTTCAGGTGAGAGTGTGCCGTTTGCAGCCTCGTCCCCATTTTGATCCGTCTTGACTTGCAGCTGCCGTTGTGGCTGAGAGCATCGTTGCGCACCTTGTGCAAGGCAAGAGATGCGGAGCTTCGACGCTTGAGGCCAAGGGTCAGGGTATCCAGGTCCAATGTTCCAATCTGAGCGATCTGACAAGCCGACACACAAGAGCATCATTCGCGCATGTTAGGGCCTGGGGGCCCATCGGCTAGTGATCGGCTCGTGACAGCACGTCAAGAAGCCAGCAGCGCGAAGCGACCCCCCAATAGACAAATTGAGAGAAGTGCAAGGACCAGGAGGTCCGAAATCGAGCGACGGCTCAAGCCATCTCAAGCCTTCCGAGTCACACAACAGACTTACCACGTAAAACCACGGGAGATTACAGCGTATTGCAGCAAGGTGCTGGCATCGTACAATGTTTAGTAGGTCACTAGATGGTCGGGGCCCGCTTATCCGTGTATGCATATACATTTTTCCGATGGGTTGCGATAGAGTCCGGATCAGACACACGCCTAGCTGAATTCGTGAATATGCAAATCCCCAGTATGCACTCACGATCTACTCGCTAGCACGTGGTGACATCATGTGAGCGATCACACATAACGGAGGAAGAACCACAGAGAGTTAGCTGGCAGCACTGTGCCCAAAAGCGATCCCTGTGGAGCACATCCTCGTGTTCAAAGCCAAACGGCTACGTAATCGGCCATCAAAGCATCAGACGGTACCCCGGCCGAGAAGTGCCAAACTTGGTGGCCAAGCGGCTGTGACCAGAAGGATCCTTCCAACATGAATGGCACTCCGTAGTCGGCTATCAAAGCACCAGACAAAGTGCAATCCAAAATTAAATGAATCGGCATCGGACCTAATACTTGCAGGATCTTCCTCATGCGTATCGGATGAGGCCATCCGGACACAGTTAACAGACCAAGGATATCAGAACACCTTCGTCGAGGTGATATTGGGGACATCGAAGCAACTGCGATAAAATACTGCGATAAAATCAACAACACTGACTTTATAGCAGCAAGAGAGTCGTAGGACCTCCACACTCAAAGAAAAATCGCTCTTGCATCAGTCGCTTGCTCAGAAACTGCCATTTCAGGATGCCGGAGTCAGGGTTATCAGGTTCAACACCACGTCGTTTGTGCATAACCCCTCCCCATAGGACTTGCAGTGCTACCAGCTTTTTGATGACGCGCACCTGGAAAGGCCTCCTTGAAGCCAACCGCAAGAATCCTCTACCATGCAGTATGCGAGCATGTCCTCCAAACCAATGTTCAACATGGCCACCTTGCTGTCCTTCGTGACCGAAGCCGGCAGACGCACCCCATGGCGGGTGCTGGGGCTGTACAAATTCTTCCGCGCGTTGGATGCAATTTGCACCTTTATGCATACACATACATACATAGAGCCGCGACCCTCGTTCTTTGCCTCACTTTCAAAGCCGAAGGTGTCGGCTGGAGGAGTTACACCAAGAACACCTCACCGGCAAAGGAGAGCATCTGGCGGAGGCCATGTTGCAATGAAATGAACTCGGAGCTATTGCAATCGCAGGGCAAGCTACATTAAAGTATTTGGAGCAACTGGACAGGTGTTCCGATCTCAGTATAGGTCGCGGTCGTGGCCTGAGCAGAAATTGCCAAGTTGCCGTAGGCCAACCTCTTGCACGCTTGACACTAGGTCTCGACTGGAAGATCTTGCCACCAAGCAATCGCAGCAATTGCAGGCAGTAGAGGCGCGGGAAGCATGCATGGGCAGTCCAGAACCAGGCTTCATCTGACCCGGGTCTTGTGGTGCTGGTAGCCAGCTTAAATGCTCTGAACGAACTCTTGTGCGCTCGTGTCCCAAGCAACAGATAGCCGGCCTCCGTGCCATGGCCCATGTTCTTTTGCCCTTTGAGGATGTGCAGCCCTCAAACCCATGTGCCTACAGTGCCCCTCTTGCTGAAGATGGCGTGAGCGGCGCAAACTGTGAGAGAGATGAGCTGAACCTTACCCAGCTCACAATGATCACTCTGCTGGGCGAAGCAAAGAAGCAGATTGGCTGGACAGAACAGGAGGCCACATCTGCCGCTACGGCTCAATCAGCCCAGTCAAGTTGCATCAAGCACCCTCCCGCAGTGACATTTTCAAGATCCACTGGCGAAGTGAAGGCTTTGGCGGCAAAGATTCGGATGCCTGCAGAGTCGTTTCAGACATCCCATCCTGCATCGAGTTCTATGTCGCGCTGCCCCACAGCAGAACGTCTTGCCCAGCAGTTCGTCACGTCCATTGGCCAAGTCCCTGGCCCGCTCCAAGTTTTCTCAGCGGCCAAGTTCTGCGTTGCAGAATGGAGAATAGCTGTGAGCAGACTCGGGAAAGAGCGGCAGATAGTCTCTCGTCAAATACCGGTCAGAACACCGTCCAGCGCAGACGAAAGCATGTTCGTGATCATCCTCCGCCATGTGAAGCTCCAGGGCAAAGGCGGCAAAGGTCAAGCATCGCAGATGGAGATCAAATGCCAGCAAGTACAGAATCCCAATGCTAGTTTTTGGACTTCCATTCGGGTCGCCGTCGGCTCAAAGACCCACAGCGGATGCCATGACTTTGCCAACAATTGTGTGGCGAGACTGCATGACCCAAGAACGGGCTCTCCACAATCGTGGAACTTGAGTGCAAGCCAGGACTGCACCCCGAAGTTCTGAAGTAGATCAAGCTGCTGACATGCTTGACGTGGTGACAAGACCGCGCAAATGCACAAGAATGCACACCTGTAGCACCCGCAAGGACAAGGATGGGTTTGCGCGGATCATGCTAGAAATCGTCACGCAGCAATGAAGTGGCTTCCGCTGACTTTTCGTGCCCTGGCAGTCAAGCAGCCGCGGGCAGGGCAGCTAGGTGATGGACATGACTTGATATGCGTCTGACTGAGGCTAATTATCTCACAGCTGAGAGGAGTTTGAACAGTGAGAGCTCGACGGTGGCTCAGCGTGTGGTTCTGATTTGTTTGCACTTGGTGGCAAGAGCAAAGTGGCTCAAATATTCTAGTTGATGAAGGTGTGGATCAGGGAGCAGATCGGGCACATCAACTCCGCATGTCGTTTATACAGTGACTAAAGTCTAAGCAGGTTAGATTATATTTAAGAAGTGCTGGTTGCTTGCCCGGAAACTGTTTGTTTGTGCTCGTGATGCCTTTGCGGGCTTGCCGTCCTAGAACTGCACCAGAGACACTATGTCTATGATGCCAGGCGCCCTATAGTTGTTCTTGCAGTCTTGCGGGTCGCCCAGGCGTCGCGTGCAACACTTTCTGACTTACTCCGCAGCTGTGCCAAGTAAAGTACCAGGTCTTGTGTGTGTGTGTGTGTCTGTAGTCCATGCTGCGCTCACCGGTGTACAGGAACAAGCGCACGATGCCGAAGCATCGCGTAAAGAAGTTCGAAATGATAATGTACCAGTGTGCTATCCATTGCACACTCGATAGAGGCCGAGGCGCGTGTTGAGAAAAGTGAATTTGGTGTCGGCAGCTCTTTGATCTTGGAGCACGCCTCGCGATTCACTTCGAACCTGGAGTTTGTGGACATGTCGCACTTTCCAGGTACCAAGTCCACATGTTTTGCTTTTGCCGCCTGCTCTATGTTTTTTGGTGAAATTCGTGCTGACGTCTTCGTATTTGAGACACTCTCCAGAGCAAATAAGCCGCGTTCCAAGCCTGTTCCTCCCAGGCTTTGCCGCAATGCTGCTAGGTAGGCCAAAAAGGGAGCTGCTCTGAAGCGCAGAAGCGGAGCAGCGACATCAACATCGCAGGCATTGAAACGGTTTTTGGAGGGGCAAGTTGTCCTTCCCACGAAACATCGACTTCTCAAATCTTCTCAACAAGTCAATTCGAGAGAGGTGGCCAGTGTCTTCTGGTAGGCTCTTGTCGGGCACGGCTCAAAGATCGAAACTCTTTATGGTTCTGCTTATGCCTCAGGCTGGCAGGAAAGTGTCAGAAGCGAGTGAAATGCAACGCCGTGCAAGAATTGGGAAATCACTCAACATGACTCGGCAGCCTCATTGAGAAGCAATGCAAGGCAGACTAAGAGTGTTTTTATTTTTTTATTTTTGTTGTTGTTGTTGTTGTTTATTCGTTTGCTTGTTTGCTTGTTTTGTTTGTTTGTTTGTTTGATTGTTGTTGGTTGTTGTTGAAGCGCTACCAGCTCAAGCGGCCGCAAATTGCCACAGGACAGCGTGTGGAGGGCCCAACCTTTGAGATTGCAACAGTTCCCTGGCTCTCCAACCACACATTTGTGCAGTTCAGGCTGCGCATCGTGCCGTGTTTGCGGCTTCTGTGGAATCCTCTGGTTTAAGCTTTCACTACACCAGTGGTGATTACAGGCACGCTACACTTCAGGCGTTATCCTGGAGCTTGCCCGGTCCCAAATCCGGGGGGAGAAAACACTTGCCAAGCAACTCGTTACTGCTCCTAAGTGTGAACGTTCCCGCCTGCGCGGCGGGGGAATCCGACCTGCAGAAAAACCCTAATCGACGGCACTGCGGCTTGTCGAGGCGGGGAAGTTAGTTTTGCTCAAGCCAACCGAGCCTTCGAGGCAGTCAATCTACCGGGCTCTCGGGCTAACCGCTCGCAGACAATCGTTTCCGTATGCTTCTGAGCCAAGTCGTCGAGGCAACCTCCGACCAGGTCCCACTGAACATGGCCCCTGTTGTAAAGGGCCCAGGGAGCTTTTGCTCCAGTCTGGAATTGGAACGCAGGGGGCCTCAGCGCTCAGCATTGGCATGAAGTTGAGGAATGGGTTCAGACATGCACGCATCATGTAGTCTGCATGCAGGAAACACATAGGTCCGGAGCCTCCCAGTTTCGCGCAAGGGGCTGGCACGTTATCACGAGTCGCCTCGGACTCTAAGCCGCCCCCTGGTTCCGGGGGCGTCCTTGTATTGCAGTGTCCTTCACGCATAGGCGTTCTCCGTTTGTTGCGAAGCACCGCGGGGAAACTCAACAAACGCACTGGCATTCCTAGTAGGCAGTACTAGATGCCAACATACGGCGCATCGGAACAATCTAATCGTCGCAGGTAACTTCAACCTGCAGGTCACACATTGTCCTCCGAAGACTGGACATGCTACCCTACGTAAGGTGCAGCAATCCGGACAGCTACAACTTCGAGATGTTGTCCGAGGCAACTAATTGCGTTTCACCGAGGGTCGGCTAAGCCCTACGCCCGCAAAGCGCAGAGCACGCTCGCGCCGTGTTCAATTGAAAAAATAATTATTGTTCTTGTTGTTGTTGTTGTCGTCGTCGTCGTCGTCGTGGTTGTGGTTGTGGTTGTGGTTGTGGTTGTGGTTGTGGTTGTGATTGTGACTGTGACTGTGACTGTGGTTGTGGTTGTGGTTGTGGTTGTGGTTGTTGTTGTGGTGGTTGTGGTTGTGGTTGTGGTTGTGGTTGTGGTTGTGGTTGTGGTTGTTGTTGTTGTTGTTTTTTGTTGCTGTTGTTGGAAGTGATTGGGACAGTGCTGTAACAACCACGTGGTTGGGAGGAGGCAGCCAACGCAGCAGAGCAACGCAGAGTGACAGTGGCGGCCTCTGTTTGAATTCGCGGGCGCAGCTACGGGGGCATTCTTTGAGCTTCACCGGCTCTCAGGCATCCGCAGCCCTGGATCAGGCTGGGTTCTGTGCGATTCTCCGGGCCCTTGCAGTTGAAAGCATGCCACGTCTTGCGCGTGTAGCTTCCTTGCGCTGCAGCCAGCCAGATCGAACAGGGTAGTGGCTCCGGCGAACTTTTGAGAGCTTAAAATAATTTGCCTTGCAGCCGGCTGCGCCTGTGCTCTGCCTGGTTCCTGGTGCGGAGCGACACAGCTGGCAGCTGTTTCCTGTGCAGGTAGCCCCCCCATAAAACGTCCGGTTTCTGCTTCACAGAAAGCCTTGAGACGCGTTTAAAGTTTGAATTTAATTCTGCATTATGGAGAGGTGTCGTCTGCTCACGGCTCGGCGAAGACAGCTGCAACTCTCTCTGAGGATGGAGACTTGAGCAGCAGCGTGATTTCGTCAGGTCGGTCGACAGACAGGCTTGCCAATAGATTGGTATCTTGTGGATTCTTGCTGGTGCTTTCTTGAATCTTTGGAAAGTGCTGTTTGGATACCTCTGCTTTTTTGTTGTCAAACATGACTGACACCACAGATATCGACTGCGCAAGCATTGAGCCCGTCCACGTCTCAAATTTGAAACACTTCCCAGTTCCAGATGCTGAGATGTCTTCATGTCCCAATGTGGTAGTCCGTCGAGTCTAACCACCAGTCTCCATCCTGTCTACCTGTGTTTCACAAAACCACGATTCATACACCATTCAAGGCTATCGATTGCCCGTGAGGTGGACAGATTAATCCTTGTGGTGAGCTCGCTTCGCAGCCCATGCAGACAACAGAAGAAGCTGCCAGCGGTCCCGTGACATCCATGAGGCCACAGGCTGAAGAGATATCGCTCAAACGGATCGATCTCGATTGTTTTGCTGAGGAAGCGCACTTGGCTCCTTTGCCGCTGTGCTTCGGCTTCCTGCAGATAGGAGCCGCCTTGCACGACCCAAGCTTGGTGCAGCCGCAGGGCTTTGCATCTCTTGCAGCCACGATGTGCAGGAAGCAGACTTCGATTGCGAACTTTGGCATCTGCCATTTGCAGGGAGGTCGAGGCTGCCAGTCAGCTCTCTCCTGGCAACAGCGACGGGCAAACAGCTACTAGTAAGTGGCTGGCATGACCCGATGTGACCAGGCTTGCCGTAGATGTGCTGCGGGTACTGAACCTTGGCTTGCAAGTTCAACAGCTATGGATACCTCATCGTCTTGCTTGGTCTTCACCACCTTCGCAGCATGTACAGTCGTTGATGAAGGAGTGTTTGTGGTTGCAGCTGTGGCTTGTTGCTGAGGACGGCACATGGGAGCTTTGCCGTGCAGCTCAAGCAGGAGAGGTCCAGCTCTGCTTGGGCCTGAAAGTTGAAGGAAAGCACCTTGCGCATGGCCTAGCTTCACGGTCAATGTGATCAAGTTGCAAGGCCGCCTGCTTATCCGGATGGGTGCGAAAGTCAATGCCATCGGAGAGGAGTGCCACAGGGATTAGTCTGAGGAGCTTAAGCTCACCATGGCCTAGGCTGCAGTAGCCTTCGTCTAGCAACCGTGTCATCTGATGTTACTGTCCATTTTGTGGGCTTTCCAGCGTGGGATTTGGAGACCATTGGCTTGGCACGAATACACAGTGCCATGGCAAGTTTGGGCGTCTTTTAGATCACGACACGAGCGGCTCAGCAGTGCTGATCCAGCTTCGTCTTCTGATATACGTAGACAAAAGCACTCAATAGCCCAATGCTTTACCACGGTCTGCTACTGCATGACTGTCGCAGCTCTGCCTTTTCAATGGTGGTTAACCCAAAGAACTTCCAACGCCAAAGGCAAACCATGGCAAACCTATTGGGTCCATTGGGCTTGCAGAATCGTGTGCCAGTAATTCTCACCCGCAGGCGTAGTGTCGAAGTCAGTGAAGCGGCTGGGCCTACAAACTGCACAGCTGTGATCCTCTCGAATCATTTGTACTTGATGGAACAGATGGTTTGCATTTTCCGGTTGCAGGATGATCTCACGCCCTTGATGACGGCTGCGTTGGCGGGTAGGTATCTCAGTTTTCCCTAGTACGTCTGGATCCTACTTAGAAGCACGCGGATACCTTGCTGCATGTTTTTCGGCAGTCACCCGGCTGACATGACCCTCTACACCTACTCTCCCAACCAAGTAGAATAATTAGAACCATGCAATGTCCGCTGACCACGGCATGCGCGGCATGTCTCGGAGTCGAGAACTTTCATTCGGCCTTGCTGGGATGATAATCGTACTGTGGATGTAGCAGGTTGTAGAGCGCGCTTGTGGTCCTGAGATGTCTTGAGTTGGGTGTGACGGGGACATACGGGGACTGTACGTTTGCTACCTTTGCGAGGCCGAGCCACAACCGTAGAAGCCCTTCTGGATGAGCGAGCCGACCCCGACAAGCAGAATGACACGAAGTGCACTGCGCTGATTCTGGCCGCCGACATGGGGCACGTGGCCGTTGTGCAGTGCCTGCTGCGACGCAGAGCCGATGTCCATCTTCAGGCTTAGCCTTGGTCCGCTGTGGCTGATTTGAGATCGTTCGGGGTTCAGCTGGGGTTCACTAGTCTGGGCATTCAGGCCGTGTACATTCAGTTCAGGCCATTACGGCATCTTGCAGCCGATGTTTACGATGTTACCCATAGTGTGCACAGGGTTCAAGTTTTGTTGCGGGATGCCTCGGAAGCAACGGAGGGCACCCAAAGCTTGCTCTTCATGTACATGCGTTGTCTATTCGAAGGCCGCTTTCCGTAGCTTTGGCAGGCTAGCAGTTGAGCCCTCGACACCGGAAGTCACATCACACAACAACCAACAACTCCTAGTTCAGTGATGTTCAAGGAGGAGCTTTGTGGTCTGAAGGAGCGATTTGAGAGCACAGGCACGGCCAGGCCGTCGTTGCCAGATTGACATGTCAGGCCGATGACTCTACCACTGCCTTCATAGCAGCTGCGCAGAAATGCCATTCGGCCGTTCTGCATGAGCTGCTCTGTGTGCACAGTGGGGACACTCGGCCTCTGAGGCTCAGAATATCTGAGTTGGTCTCTCAAACGTTTCAGTTAAGGCTTCACTCAAGGCGCAGCCCTTGCAGATCCTTGCAGCCTTTTCAACTAAAGTAAGGCTTGCTACTATAGTTATGATACGTTATGATATGCAGCTCTTGCAATCAGGACCAGCGAGCACTGGCGGATGCGCTCTTGCGGGCATCCGAAGACGGTTCTGCTGATGCTGTCGAGCTGCTTGTTCAGCTTGGCCTAGAGCTTAGTGCCAGAAGCCCCGACGGAGATGAGTCGATCGGTGGCCAAGCATTACGGGTAGCTGCTCACCGGTGGCCTTGGTCGCACTGAGAACACGTGTGCACAGGCTGCCGGTAGTCTCTTGTCTTCTTGGCAGCCGGTCCATTCCCAAAGCTCATGCAGGAATCATCGACCGGTAACTTTGGCGCTGCTAGCTTGTCGCGCAGATGTGGATGCTGCATCGGCCAATGGTTTCACTGCCCTTGCCGTCGCCTGCCAATATGGGGCGGCTGACGTTGTGCAAGACCTTCTGGTTCGAAGGGCGGACGTGAACGTGCAGGCTCTCAATGGACGAACACCTCTTATGCTGGCTGCGACTTTCGGGCACACTGCGATTGCCCGAAGCTTACTGGAGCATCAAGCCGCTGCGCGACTTTCCTGCAGTGACCCACCCGTGTCATGACCGATTCAACTAGTGCAGCGCGGGTCTGGACTTCTCGTCAGGAATGTGCGAGACGGAGACCAGAACAACTCCCTCCTTCTCGCTGCGCAGTCTGGATACGACGACATCCTCTTCTGCTTGCTCGCCCACCGCGCTTCCGCCGCTCAGCTGCACCAGATGTTCCTGCAAGTCTTGCACGTGTGAGGCTGCAGATGGCGTCAGGTCTGAACGGTCGCGAAGCATTTGTAGAACCATGGCACGCCCGATCACAAGTCAGTGGTGCTTTTGGCTACTCGGAGGACCTAGGACCCAGGAGGGTTGTCTGTCTGACGCCGAGGTAAACGACGTCGGGCAGCACGCTTCTCAGAGATTTGGCCAGCTGTTTACATGGAGGGTGAACTGATAAAACAGCATTAAGGGTGAACTGTTTGGCATCTCTCGGTCTCTGGAGGTCTGGATGGACTGCGCTGAATCTGGCAGCAAGTTTTGGGCATCTGGCAGCAGTCGACCTGCTGCTGAGTTCTGGTGCAGACACCAGCCTAGCAGACGATGACGGTGAGACTCCCGATGCCTGCCAAAGCTAGCGTACTTGGTCATGGTTTGCGCTTTGCTGCTAGTTGCGTCGGGGAGGCGGTTCATCTGCCCCCATGCTCCTGTGCATGTCTGATGCAAGGAAATGGCAGCTCTTGCTGGTGGGCACGAGGATGTTGCAAGACGCTTGCGGGCACTGAGTGAGAGCGCAGTCGAAACCTGCAGGTGAAATCTCAGAGCGATTCGCTCAAGGCGGCGGTGCTGGAAGGATGCCGATCCACCTGCCATTCAGTCCAGGGCGAGCGTGGGGGAGTCCTTCCCAATTCTTTTGCTTCATTCCTTGTAAAGTATACGAAAAGAGATTGAAGCAAACAGCTTTTGAGTGCAAGTTTTGAAATTGATTTCATGTGAAGCTGCGGAGCAGCCTGGGGCCTTCCTGGAGGCCTGTGCCTGTGTCTCTCCCTATCGACCGCTCGTGCGGATTGAGAGGTGTGTAGACCGGCGGAGGAACAGCTGTGCACAGCTGTAGGATACTGTAGAGTACTGTAGAGTACGTAGAGTCGCTGTGGGAACCTGGTAAGGCCCGACACACGACCCAAGCACTGATGCAAGGAGGCCATCGCAATCGTTTTAGAAAGCCAAGCCTGCTTTTTTCCACGGTCTTGTGTTCGCGGCCGCGCAGAGTTCTTACAGATGGTGCCGCAGGCATGCAGCCGTGGCCGGCAATAGTTTACATTAAAGAGAGGACCTAGACCTGGACGCCAGGCTCAAGGCAAAGGCTGAAGGCCCAGGTCCAGAAAAAACGGGCATTCCAAGCTGCACCGCACAACGGCAAGTGGCAAGTCGTCAGCTCAAGCGCATGCTGTCACGGACTGTCACAGTCATGTTGTGCATCGGTTCCAGGTTCTTCCAGGCCCTAGGCCCTAGGCCCTATGCGTCTATGGATCCGCAGGCAAAGAGCCATCTTGGCCTGCTGACCAGTCGAGTGCGAGGTGGGATGCAGTAAACATGCTAGTTGGAGTCGCTGTGGAGATAGGTGCCTGCCCTGTGCGAGTCGACTTGGCATGTTTTGAAGAGTAACCGAAGACCCCGCGAGATGAAGCTTACGGCATGCAGGAATGGGTCAACAGTCGAAGGCGCCAAGCTCGCAATTTGCATGCTGGGACCGTGTGCGCGAAGCATTGGTGCCGAGGAGCTGCATGGGCTAATTGAACTCGAGTGTGAGCAAGAGGCTCGCCCGCATGGCTGTGGAGGCCTAATCAGGCTTGAAGGTGTGGGTGTGGAGATGCCTGAAATCGACATGCAAGGAACCGGTCATTCATCGGTCATGGAACCTGGGACTTGCCTCGCAGGCTGCAGCGATGGATGCTTTGGAAGCGTCGGAGAAGCAGCAAATGGAGGCAATCAAGACTCAAGATCTGAACTGGCGCCAGTGTTATGGGTTTTGAGAGTGCAGGCTCTCGGCGAGATTGCGGTTCTGGAGAGCCACACGGAGGAGGCGAGAGCTGAACACAAGTCAGAGATGTCAAGCTGGGAAGCGGGCTGAGGCTCAGACAGAGGAGGAGCTGCTGGAAAAGTTGGTTTACCGACAGGACAAATTGGACCAGAGCTTGGGCAAGTTCTCCTGTTTGGGTGTGCGTGTGTACCCGATTCTGGTATCGAGCAGCAAAGAAGCAAAAGAGTTGGAGAGCCGCTGGCGAAGCTTGAGAGACGTCACAACGAGTTGAGCAGCCGTTTTCCCGCGTCAAAGGACCATCGCGGAATGGTGGGTCATTCTCCTACGAGATGCCAGTCAAAGCCTCGGTCTCGGCACAGGTTCACCAGGTCAGGGAGGTCCTACAAAGCCAATTGTTTCGCCACGACTGCCGGCTCACGGAAGACACTGCAGCTGGGAGTGCAAGCCAGCGGTTGCAGCCATGGGTGGCGCGCCATCCTTGATTCTGCCGAACTTGTGGCTAGGAGGCTTGGGCCTGAACGACGGTAGGCGCATGCCGTCGACTTGTCCGACAATCACAGTTGGTGAAGTGTTGAGGCTGTTGAGGAAGGTCATGGACTGAAGACAGCTGAGACGCCTTCCTTGTAGAGGTCAAGATGTGCTGGACGACTTGGATTTTTTTCGAAAGAGTCTTGGCTGTCCGACTAGTATTTAAAATATGTTTGTCTAAAGGGAGTAGGTTTAGATCAACGACAAAGTCGAAACTTGAGCTTCTTCTCTGAAACACACTAAGGAACAACATAACTTGCTGCTCGTCCGAACTGATGTATGCGCTGTCGAGACGATTGTTCATGCTCATCCATGCCTGTCCGAGTCTGTGTCTAGGGCTCTGGGCACACCCACGCGCATGACACGTAGTTGCCTCTGAACCATTGGGACTCTGGGATGGGAGGTGTGCTGTCATTGGGTCCTGCGACTCCCTCGCAGCGAATCCGGCTGGCAGCACGTAGCTCGGCACAAGACAACAGAATCTTGGGTGGGATTCGGTTATGGGGCGGTCCGAGAGCTCGTGTTGCTAATGTCCTTGGCAGTGCATGCCTGGAGCATTCTGGAGCTTCGATTGATTGAGGGTGCAGACAGCCGCACAACGCAGAAAAGCTTCCACGGCCAAGCTTCCCTCTAAATCCACCGGAGTAGTTTTGTGCAAGCGTTTGCTCCACGGCAACAGTGCGCAACACCGCCGTCCATAGTCCACATGTTGAGGATGACAATCATGGGCAGAGCAGACATGAGAGAAAATTGAGGCGAACACGTGAACTTGCCGGATGTGCCAACTGCTGATCTCAGTGGCTTGCCGAATTGCTTGCGAGATCGCTGGAAAGCTTCCTGTAGCTTGTAGTGCTGGTTTGCAAGGCCTCATGGCTGTAGCATGATGCCATGAGTGCCAGTATATGCCGGCATCTTTCAGCAACTTGACATTGACGGTATTGCGCCATTCATGCCGAGCTCTGCGCACCGTCTGTGCCAGAAAATCAGGCTATATCCCGTCGTAATTTTTTGTGTGGTGTGCAACTGGCCAGATGACAGGTTCTAGTTACCGCAGGTGGGAGGCGATCTCAGACAAATGTGCAGACAAATGCACGATCAGGTGTTCACTTTCCACGTGTCTTGGCACCATTGGCTGGAAACAGGCATTTGCTTTCTGTTGTTCGTGACGGTTTCTCCCCGGATCCTTCAGGAATCGTCCGCTTCATCTCATCATCCCGGCACAATGGGCACTCCGTTTATGTCCATTGCGCAGCAGGCGCCTTGTGCTAACAACCACGTCCGGTTTCGCTTCCCGGATCACGACCGTGGCCCGCAGCCTGCACTGCTCCCAGGAATATCCAGGAGCTCGACATCGATTTGCGCATATCTCATGGCCCACCTGTGCCTCTGATGCAACATGATATATGTCACGAATATGTCCTATGGACAGACTTCAACCTCGCTGGATTTATAGTAGGTGCTATCACACTTGCGTGTGGCCCCGGCCAACTTGTAGGGCTTGTGGGTGTTGCTAGAGTCTAGAGGCGGTTAGAGGCGGTTTCCTCTGCAAGTTGTGTTGCCCATCACTGCCTTGCCTGGGCAAGGAACATGCCTTTCGAGCAAATGCTGCAGTTCCTTTCTCAGCGGCGTCCGGCGGTTTGCCCCAACGACGGCTTCCAGAGGCATGCCCGGGATTGGAATGCGATAGAGATTATTATGGATGTTAGATCGTACTTTGATTGCGAGTCATCTCGCGTCTTAAATGCAGGAGGCTTAAGACGCAGAAAAGTGCACGCCGAAAATCCCTTCGTGCATCTCCCTGCAGAGCGTGCTTCGCCTCCCTTCCTCCCTGAGCCCTCTGCAGAGGCAGCTGCGAAGGTACGAGTCCTCCAAGGAGCGGCTCCTGCTGGCACAGGACAAAGGGGACCGGGGCGGGGCCCGCCCCTTCTTCGCATCTGCCTTGCTCTACTGCCTTCTCTTATTTCTCCTCTCTTCTTCTCTTCTCTCTTTTTTTTCGAGCGGTTAGGTCGGTTGAAGGCGACCTCTTCTGCGTTTTTGTTTCAGAGAGCTCTCTTCTGCAGCTCCACCAGGAGATGCTCAAGGTTCCAGCCTATGCGGAGCTACAGCGACAGGACTTGGAGACCGTGCCCGCAATCGCCTGGGGGTTCCAAACTTGCTTGATCTGTAATTCTCGATTTGCTTTACAGCCTCATGTGATCTGAGCCCAGGATACGGTGTGGCAGGCAGGTCCAAAACCAAGTGCTCGGAGGGAACCCAAGTGCCAAGCCTTCAGGCCCTGAGCCAGCGCAAAGCCCGTGGTCGCTCCGTGGAGGCCGCGGCAAAATATGCTACAGTACCGCGTGCTCCTCGCACCTGCAACCTGTGCCGTCAGGGTGGGCGAGCGACTCCGGCAAAACAGGCGCAGGCACCAGAACAGAGGCTCAACAGAGTCTGCAGGGCAAGACTCTAGTCTCACAGAATGCGCCACAGTTTTCGCTTCGGACTGCAGCAGCCCCTGGCTACGATACGACGAAGTTATCTACATTGCCGTTAATGATCTTCCTTGTAGACTACATCGCCAAAAAATGACCAAAGCGCCTTCCTGGTAGTGTCAGCATCGAATCGAGGGACTCTCTGCTTTTCACGGACCGTTCTGGACTCTTTTGATAGGAGCCCAGTCTCTCCAATCACCATATGCGTAAGTGCAGGCCAGCGCGAGCTGGAAGCGGTAGCGTCCCCATCGACCAACTGGCACGGCAAAGAGCGCTGCAGGCTCTGCTTTGCGGCCAATTGGTTAGCAAAGACTATGTAGAACAGCAAGACACGGTGGTGTGTTGTAAGCCGGCGATCAGGCTGTTCAAGCTACTGCGCAGCGGCAGCCGGGCAGCGCAATCCGAGTTGGCGATGGGTCACAGCTGCTCGACCTACAGTGGACAGTATATTGATCGTGCATTCGCCTTGGAACTCTGCCAGCCCGGGGAGATTTGGTGGGAGAGTGCTCTCTGAGGGCCGGAGCTAGTAGCTAGTCACAAGCCAAATGGAGAAGCATGAAGTGCGATTCTGTTCTGATCGACGTTTGATGTCGACCGCTTTTTGTTTCTGAACTGGTTCCTAGAACCGAGACGAGATAGAAGGGAATAGCGGAGTGAAGGACACACTCATAACAATCTAGGAGACAAGGGAGGACTCGTGCTCATAAAACAACTCTCTGCTTCGAGGCTCCGTTGCGAGCTTGCACAAGCAGAATCGGCAGAACTCTCGGTATTTAAGAGGATATGCGGTACTGACAAGCTACTCAGGCGCAAGCATCAAGCATGGTTTTGCTACCTGGACCTGCCCAGCTCTTTCTTCAAATCCATTTCTACGCGGAGATGAGATAAGCCAAGCCACGCCATTGGGTTTTAGAATCAGCTCTCTCGTGTCGCTTGTCGAACACAACATCCGATCTCACCAGTAAACCTGGTCCAGCATGTGTATTTAGTCAATCCATTTACCCTTCCTTTCCAAGATACACGAACATACACTAACCCTTTCTACGCCATACTCAGCCAAAAAGTCCTTACAAGCCCCGAAAGCCATCGGGGGCTTTATCAACACTGCTCTAGAAACAATTGACTACATAATACAGTCGAGAAAGAAAGAGGCTTTATCAACACGGCTCTAGAAACAAGTGAATACATAATACAGTCGAGAAAGAAGGTGGGAGATACCGGGTAAGATAGCAAAGACAGATAGACAGGCAGAGAGGCGAAGATGCCCAAGTTTGACACGACAGACAGATGCACACATAGATGCCTTGGCTTTTGCATCCTCGTTGCAAGTCGGCTTGGTGGTCTTCCGGAAATTTCGTTCCTTGTTGCTGTTGTTGTGTGCGCGAGCGACACCCTCCTCGCGTTGACTTGTTGGCTTCTTGGCTTTCTCGCTGTTTGTCGACTTAAACGGCTTGTCTTGATGTCTTCGCTTCTCTGTCTCTAAAGGTGCTGGAGTTCGCCTGCCGAGCTGTTGTACGATTGCAGAGAATATGAATGTAAAGGTTCGGTTCGGTTCGGTTTGCGGTTTTAAAGCGGCGGTTCAGGTTCATGCGGTTCCTGCCGTTCGGGTCGCGGTTGCTGACAGTTCTTAATAAGTTCAGTTTACCCCGACCCTTTTTTTCTCAAGCACACGGCGGTCGTGCCTTCTTGGTCGGAATGACCTGCTTCTGGTGTGGTCTTTCACTGTGTTGGGATCTCCGGTGGCAGAATATCCATTTGGCTGTGTCAGTGTACCAAACACTGTAAATTGAGTTGTTTTCAAAGCTCTAAAATGTGGTTGTACAGAATTTGGCACGTTTGGGCGCGGGGCCGGGAGCGCGGCAGACACAAGTTGGCAATTTGGCACCTTCGGGCTTGCAAGTGCCAAATTCTGTACTCCGGCACAGGCCGGGAATGCGTGGGATTGCAGTTTTGGGCACGTTCGGGTCTGAAACTGCCGAAGCTGTGCTCACCCACACGGTGAGCCTGATGCGTCGAAGCGCAGAATTTGTTATAGGTCTGTTTGGCGGCATCCCTGCAGCGCAAGGAGCACGTGAGGTCAGAGAATTTAACACCTTTGGGCTTGGAAGCGCAACATTCTCCCCGAAGCCCGGGGAGTACAGTCGGGCACGTTTGGGTCTGAAACTGCTTCCGCGAGCGCGGCGCCGCATCCGCGCTGGAGCACAGAATTCGCTAGGTTTGTCTAGCGGCTTCATCGTGTCCCTGCAGGGCGAGAAACTTGCAAAAGTACACAATTTAGCACCTTTAACTTTGGGCTTTGGGAGGTCGGGCCGGGCCCGGCGTGCGCTGCACCACAGTTTTGGGCACGTTTGGATCTGAAGATGCTAAATGCTGTGATCCACCGGGGCGCGGTGCCTCCCGCACGAGAGACTATAAGGATTTGGTCTGTCTGTTTGAACACAAAGCTAAGAACCGAGTTGGCGGTTCGGTTCGGCAGGTTCACTGTTCGGGTATTCAAACCGGCATTGCGTTCCAGCGGTTCTGCCTGAATCAGTTCCGGTTCGCGGTTGCAGTTCGGGTCCTTGCCTTTTATGTGAAAAAGGAGTGCGTCCTGTAATGCAAGCAACAAAAACAAAGTTGCGAGTGCGCTTCAAAATGGCTTGATGCTGGTCCAGCACTGACTCGAACTAAGGATTGGCGATGTGGCATGGCTGCTTTTGAGCCGGAGGGCACTGCTGTCTTTGCCGCCGTGTGATTGGGGAAGGGATTACGGCCGTTCTGCACAGGTGGGGCTGGCATGGCTAATGCCCCGTCGACGAAGCAGCAGCTTGTCTGCAGGGGGAAAAAGCTGCTTAAAGCCTTTTGAGATCAGCTTCCACTTGAGTTTCTTTCAACCTTGAATGTGCTAGCCGGCTGTCCGTGGCAGGCGCAAGCGCAAGCACAGCCACATCGCTACCGCCTAGTGCAAGGCATTGCTTTTCTGTTTGTTGCTGTTGCTGTCTCAAGGACTGTTGCCTGTGTAGCTTCGATGGGCGTTGCGCGAAGCTTTTGTTTTGGAAGATTTGTTCGGGATGATGTGGTTAGGACAAAAAACCCAGTCCAACTTCCGTTGGTTCGGTGGCAGGCTGGGCCGGGCGAAAAGGCCCGTGTATTGAGTTGTCGGACCATGTCAGACCCATCAGCCTCTGACAGACAAAGCTCTGGCAGTCTTGGGACTGCTCTAGCACGTAGGAAGCTCTTGTCTGCCGAGAGCTTCAGATGATCTAGCAGTGTTGTCAGCTTAGTGAGCATTGCCTTGTGAAGACTTTGTTCTGTGAAGCTCTCCTGTGAGGCGACTTTTCTGTTGCAGGCTAGCATTTTCAAGCGTCTCGTTGATTCAGCCGGCGCTGCACCTGCACCCCCGTAAATGCGGATTAAACGTTGTTGCACTCCAGCAACTGCACCCGTGATTTTGGATTCCCCCGGCGCTAAGTAAGCGCGTGTTGCCTCTTTCTGCCGCCACATGCATGAAGCACAGGGCTGAACTTGCTGGTGGTGATTGGCTGAATTAAATTACGTTCGTACTAGGTGACCCAGTAGCTATGATGCTTAATTACCTGCTGTTGTGCTGTGCAACTTGGCACATGTCTTCACGGGGATCTTTAACAAAGATGGATCGATACTGACGGGAGTCCAAGGCTTAGGAAGTGCTCAAACCCGCAGAGGTCATGGCTTGGTCACAGCTGACTTTGCGAGAGTCGCAGGGTCTCGTCAACTTAACATACACAGCGACAGTAACCAGGTCTGGCACACACTCCCGATGTGTCGTGCCTAAGCGCAAATGCGAAAAACCACGCGCCAAGCCTTGCCCACTGCTCTGACGAGTCGAATTGTTTCTCCTTACCAAATGTCAGAGAGATCGGAGAAGTGTTTCAAGTCTCACTGGCTGCAGGCCGCAGTGCTTGTTTGAGCAAAAATGGCATTCCTTTTTAAATTGTGCTGCGAATCGAGAGCACTCCGGTTCTGATCCATGATTTGTTTGAAATGTGGGATCTCGCCATCGCGGCTTGCAGCACTACGTCGTTATTCCACGGCACATGTTGCCGTTTCGCAAGCACTGAAGAAGCACCAACTTGTACAAACACATCCGGCCGGTTTTCGAATCATGGCACGATGTACTTCGTGTACAGTGGCAGTGCAAAGGTGCAAAGACATCCACAGACCAAGGCCTTCCTCTGTGACATTGGAGCTAGGCGCCTGCGATCCATGTACACTGCTCCTCTTAGTGCTTAATTCGCTGAAAATCGCTCTTGGAGATCGGCCGCTTGTGAAAGAGAGAAGCGAGCCAAGAAACCAAACCGAGTCGAAAGTGCCAAAGTGGCTGCGCTGACTAAAAATGTGCCCAGTGCTGCAGGTGGAACTCGGCCCATTTGTGCTAGTGCTGTTAGTTTATGGAGCTGAGCTGGTCTGCAGGAAGCTTGCAGCCGAGCAGGAGGCCAAAACACTCTTGCCGCAAGCCATAGAGTGCCATAGAGCCATAGAGGGGCAGCCACTAGGTCTGAAGGGATCGAGGCCCAGAACTTCTGGCGTTTGAAAGGCACTGGAGCAAAAGCTTCAACGAAGGAACTCAGAGTTCCAGCAGGCTGTGAGTGGGTGGAAGGTGTTCCCTCGCGGACTGTCGGGTTTTACGTCGCTTTGGTTCTTACGGGGTGTGGGTTTGGCTTGGGGTCACTGAGCTGCCTCGTGTAGTGTTCATCTTCTGAGACCAGACGTCGTGAATCCTTGCCTGCCTTGCGCGAGTGCAGGCGTCGAATTGTTTTCTTGCCCAGCACTCCACGGCGTGGACACTTTCTAAAAGATAGGCATGTGGATGCAGTGAGGAGTCCAAAGGGCCTCACCTGAAAACGCGAGTTAGCCCGTTAAGCCAGCAGAGGACGGACAAGGCCCTTTCGCATCATCGTTGCGCCGTTCTGCCTTGAAGTGTTCTTGTGCCTGCCGACACATGATTGTCAGCGCCAGGTGCGCGAAGAACAGGACCGCCATCACAGCACGTTCAGCTTCGACTTCGAATCGGCTGAGTGAGACCATTACAAGTCGCTACGTGACCCCGCCTCGGCCAGTGAAAGGCATGTGCCAGGGTAGGTCGCGTCGTCTCTCAGTGCCTTGAATTGAAGCCGCTCAGCCAGCCTCAACCCTAAACTCGGATGCCTCGCCCGGGTTGTCGCTGTGAATGCCGAAACGATTCAAGGGTTATGGGGTTATGATACAAGGGCGACTCCTCCGAGGGCTTATCGAGGATGCGCCGCTGCTTCATTCCGAAAGCCTTACTGTAGGCCTTTCTTTGCGGCGGGACTCAAAAAGGTCGGGGAAACTTTGCGTTACTGGACCCCCCATCACGATTGGACACTGGCAGACAGCATGCGGCTAGAGGAGGTACTGGCGGTACTGGTACTGAGGAGACCTCGTAGCAGCCGCAGCCTCCGCTAAGCAAATTTCGTGGTTGGTTTTCCTGTTTCGATTGGAAGGTAAGGGGGGAAGGATCTCTATCAAGCAGAATCTTGTTCTTGAGTGACGGTTTCCCAGTGGCCTGCGGATCCTGTGGCCAATCAATTCCCCCACAGCTTCGAGTCGTGCGAGAGCCTGAAACTTGTCAAAGATCCGACTTACTTGAAGCCTTGTCGAGGCGTGCCGCCGAGGCCTAAAGTATCGGGTCCACATGTTATGTTCACCTTGTCAGGACGCCCTTGCGAGCCTCGCCTGCACTGTTTAATTACATCGCCAGGATTAGAGTTTCGTCGCACTTGCCTATGGGATCATGCAGAGGACGAGGAGTACCGAAAAGTTCATGTTACGTGGCCTGGCTAGCGGAGGAATTACTCCACGGGAACTAGGTTTTGCAAGGTGTTCAAGACCAGTACGCGAGAGTACGACGAACTTTCGTCCTGCCGCAGCATGAACTTTGTGCCCGATAGTTGAGCAAGTTGCAGTTCGTGAGACCATGCATAGCTTTTGCAAGATTTGTCAAGCAGTATATACTGAGAGAAAGGGCGGTGTGGCGCTTGGCTAAGCCCCCGAACAGTCACAGCTTTACCCTAGGGCTGCTGCAGTATCCGAGTGTAAGTGTCCAAAAAAACGCTGCGGAGGGAGCCGGACCTGAGGGGAGGCGGTCAGGAACCGAAGGGGCCTCGGTCGATTGTCACTTTACCGGAAAGTTGAGTCTCCTTGAAGCCGAAGTCTCGACGGATTCCCGAGCGATCTGCCCGTTCCGACGTGTGCATTGCACTGGACCTGACTCTTACAGTCTTACTGTGGCCAGGAAGCCGCGATCCCCAATCTGGAGCACGAGCTGCAGGTGCCTATCAGCAGAAGTGTGCGAGTGATGGTGTTTGAGAATCCTTGTGTGTCTGAGATTCTGGAAGCAGCCATCCAGCCGAAGCCTCGGCTTCCACCGGCTATCACAAGTTGTTGCTTATGTCGACTTGACTATCGGGCCATCATTGCACCGAGCAGGCGACAGCCTGAAGAGACGCATGCGGCCTTGGACGCGTGCTCTGCCGGCAGCTTGGGAGTATCACGCTGACGTCGGAGCCAACAAGCCAGGAAGCTAGCGGAGAAGAAAGCCTGGGAGAAGAGAGTGAGCCCGGCTGCCAGCAATGCCATGCCATGACGCCAGCAATCGGCCATGCCCCGTTTCAGCAAGGCGAGTCGGAATCGGAGCCGAGGCCTTACCAGACCAAGGAGTCACAAGGATGGCAGACTTTCCCATAGAGAGACTTGCAGAGATGCTGAGACTCCGTGCTGCCCATCGTCAGCGAGCGGAGCAGCAGCGCAAAATGGCAAGCTTGACGAAGTGTTGCCGTCATGGCACGATGGCATGTGCCGGTGGCTGCCTCTGCTTCGCAGACGCTGCTTGTGGCAAACTGTCGTCGCGAAATTGAGTCCCGAGAGGCACACTCTGCTGTGGCATAACATAATTTCATCTGCTGCCTGGGGCTGATTGCTTACATGATCCCGAACTAGCCCGACAGGCTGCGGCGAAATGGAGCAGCGCACAGAGCCTTGGCAAGATCTGGCAACTAGAACTTGCAAACATGGGCATGACTGGTTTCAGCTTGGCCATTGTGTATACAGGTGCTTAAAGCCCATGGAGACCGCATATCAAGAGGTGGGCCCCTGGACACAGCTAGTTGCTGCAATTTCAGAGCTGGTGGGCTTGCTTCGACAGGCCTTGCAAAGGCACAGCCAGAGGCAAAAGCAAATTCGCCATCAGCTTGGGTGTTTTTCTGCGTGGCTTCGCAGCAGCTTATGGCACTGTAGTGCTTCCTGTGCAAGGCCAGCATAAGACCAAGCGGCAGGTGGGCAATGCATTCAAAGTTATTCTCTCAGCTGATGCGGAAGCTTTCTTGTCCAACGGTTTGTTCCCACCCAGCCCACCCAGTGATTCAGGTGCCCCTTCTCCAGCAGCTTGGTGCCCGGACCCTTTGCAAACGATCACGACGCACTTCCACCAGAACAACAGCAGCCTGCCAGTCAGGCGAGTAAGCAAGCCACAAGCCACGGAGGCATCGGAAGTGAAATGGGGTTCGCAGGAATGAAACAGACAGTCTTCCGTGGTGTTCAGGCGCACGATGCAACTGGCCAACCCCTCAGTGGTTAAATGGATGTCACAGCGCCACCACGTGCCCAAGGGTTCAAAGGTTCGCTTACATGCGGCTTCCAGCTAGTTTGCGATTTGTCCTCCCTTCGTCACATGTCCATCTTGTGGGCAAGTTCCTGGCGAGCGTCTGCACGGATTCGGTCTCTCTCAGTCCTTCACCGTCAGAGTCAGTTGCCTGGCGGGATGTATATCAAGAACCACAATGTATGGATTCGACCAACAAACCAAACGGGTACTGACAGGTGGAGTGCAAGGAGCCAGTGACTAGGGGAAAATGAAGATAGTGAAGTCTGATTAGTTCCATCGTCTAGAGTCTTCCTTCCTTCTCGTTCCGAAGATGCCTAGTATGACCTCGACGTTGTTACTCAAGCACAGCAATCAGACTAATCAGAGTAATCCTCAGGACCGAAGCAACATTGCCAACAAACTGAGCATCAATGCTCAGCTACATCCGGTAGGTGTCCTGCACCAGTCTAAGTCCCTGCTTGAAGGGGCAGGTCGGGCATCCTTTCTTGGAGTGTTTACAGTAGCGTGCCTTCAATGGCTTGCAGCCTTGAACCCTTGACTCCAACCCAGACTCGTGGATGGTGCTGCTTTCGATCGTTGCATATTTGCTTGAAAGGCTGTTGTCCGATGGGTATAATTCAATGGCAGTCTTCCCCTTGAGGTACAAGTATGTACAAGTAACGTGAGTGGGACATGAAGTCAAAGCTGTACAATGGTCTTGGGCTTCTCAGCTGAGGTCCACAAGCCGCCACCACCACCACTAAGATCACGGCTGGAGCTCATTCGCAATGTCCCTGGCAGCGGATCTTTGTTTTTTCGTAAGTCCTGTCGTAGCGTGCACTTCGTATGTCAGAATTCTGGCCTGAGGCTGTTGCGGCGATACAGCGTGTTTCGCTTCGAAGAGGCATCAAGCATGTGTCCAAAACGAGCGAAACGATCCTCATTCTTGGCTCCGCGAGTTCGATCTCAACAATCAGATTGGCAACGACATCGGGCCTTCATCTTCTAAGAATACAGTTTTCCCTGTTGCCGCTGGCTGTCGGCATTGTAGTCAAGGAGGAGAGTCTGAGTCTGCCCATGATGCCAGGTGCAGCAGAAAAGCAACGTTGAGCGCTGCGGAGAGCGCGACCTGCGCGTCGCCGTGGCCCGAAGTCTCCAAGTGTCTAAGTGAAGCTGCGAGTTTGCTCGAACTTATCCTCATGCCCTTGTTCTGAAAGTCATTTGATGCACCTCAGGCCGCGGAGCAAAATGAAAAAGCACAGGCAGCTGACAAGTTGCGAGGCTTTGGGGATATATGTGCCTTCACAGACGTGCCTTGCCTGATGCCTGTTCTGCAAAGAAGCAGCGACACGTCTGTGGCCTGCATGTGAGCGTGAGCATAGATAAAGTGTTGCTGGCACAATGTTGGGCTCACACCTTCACCCAGCTAGTGTATTCGAGCCTTCGCTTGACCTTCGCTTGCACTCCTCCGGTACCATGGACAATAAGGCCTGGCGAGTTAGATGCTGAATTTGGTGGAATGCCTGCAGCTTTTGAATTGGCAGTTGGAGAAGCTCCGCAACCGCTACCCTTGCCACGTGCCGGTAATTTGTGACGCTCTGCAGCAGTGAATTCGCTCGTCTTCCGTGCATGATCACGCATATTGCTTCGTCCACAGGAAACCATCTTGTCGCATGCCTCTTCGGATTGTTGACGGCGCCTTTGAGGTGCACAGCCGGGATGAAAAGAAGGAGCAGAAGCTCATCGTGCCCAACGAGACGACAGGCAAGGCAATGCGACAGAGTAGACAAACGGAGCGCAGCCTGTGGCATTTAGTATTGCAAGGTGCTGCGTGCCGGCCTCGCTTCGCATGCGTGCAGTGCGTGGCGGCATTGCGACCCACAGAGGTGCCCATGTTCCATGAGATGTTACTCAGGTTCATGGACATTGCTCGTCAAAAGTGCGCGTGGGCCGTGCAAGGCGGCAAAGTCTTGCTATGCACAGGCCAGTCTACCGTCCAGACACTACGTTGTAATTGACCTGGGTCATAGCATCCCCAAACGATCGCCCTGTAGCACTTGACCTGCTGCCAGGCAAGGGCTCCGCTACTATGGAGGTGCCAGCAGAGAGGACGATGAAGCAGTTGGATTCTAAGTACAAGGCCTGGCACCAGAGAATCCAGACTGTCTTGTCATGCTCATTGTCATGCTGCTTGGTGTTGGTGTGTGATGCATCTCTGCCGATTCATGCTGCTGACTGAAATACTACTATTGCCCGTCTGGTGTACCTCGAGACGCCATCCACTGTTAGAAGAGGCACCGAACGGGGCGCTGCACTTCAGCGTGGAAGCTGCGGCGAAGGATGGCTGTGATTTCATGCCGGTCATTCTCTCCCCCTCTCTCGATGGCCTCGATCGACCATGACTTATGTCTTTTCCATGTCTATACGTGACAGGCCGCCACACCAGGCTGCAAATATGTTTGGCACAGATCGGGAATATGAGAGGTTACAGCGCACCCAGCCGAGTAGAGGTTTCAAGTGCCCTCGGGTCCTCGAGTTGTGAGTCCAAAGCACAATCGTGCCATGGAGCTGTAGCCAGTTGAATCTTAAAACATTCGCTTTTTTCGGAATGCTTCGGAAACCTCAGTTTCCTCACAGGACGCGGTGGAAGGGCCCCAAGAATTCAAGATGGACGAGGCGGTCCCGCAGGAGCAAGCGTGGTAGCGCCTCTTTTTCCATTAGTGGGCTCCTTGTCTGATTATGGTGGACCTTTCTTTCAACAACAATTTCGTTCTCCAGGACCAGAAGAAGGCAAAGGCCAAGGTGGCGATCTCCGAGGTGTGTGGGATTCGGCCCGATATCAATGCAAGGGTCCGCACATATTGGGGCCCAAGAACTGCAAGGATGACATCGCCGAAAAAGCCAGGCGAATTCGCATGTGCCCCGGCTGCAATGTTGGGGAGCCCGAGCCCAAGCATGAGCGTGGAAAAGCCGGGGCGGGGAGTAGCCATACAGTGCAAGATTGGGAGATCCCACCTGCAGTCCGCCGCCAGCGCGGCACTCCTTCTTGGAGCTCAGGAAACACCCGGACCGTGTTCCAGTGCTCGTCAATCAAGCAGAGGCACCAGGACCTCTTGCCTTAGTTCTTGCAAGAACGCGCAGGACGATGCATTTTATTAATTCCATGGCGTCCTTGGGTGCAGGATTGCCTGCCCTGGACAAGAAGCTTCTCATTCCGAAGACCATGACGTGCAAGGATTTGCGCAAGACCCTTTGGCCCGAGTTATTCAGAGCAGGCTCCTAGATCAATGTGTGTGTCCCACCCCAACGCCGATTCTAGCTTAGCGACGGCGCTTGCCCGTCTCAGGATTCTTCCGAAACATCTGGGCTGCGGGCATTTGGATGTGGACTGGAGCAACGTGTGGCTCGGCACGACGATGTTCTAGACTCCTAGACTTTGGGCACGTTCGTGGCTTGTGGTTGCTGGCCTCATCGCCTTTTTGCTGGCTGGTTTGCGTTTCCCGACCTCGACCGATTCCAATATGTCCCTGAAGTAGATAGTGACCCGCCAAAGTTTCCGCCAAAGATGTTTGGCGGTGGGGTTTAGTAGGGCACGGGAAATCTCACCTGTATTGAATCCTGTCAGAAGCTTGGGGCAGCCCTTTTTTTGTCCAGGTAGGGCGAAGAGGTTCAGGTGTAGGCGGTGTAGGTGCGTGGCCTCGGGGAACTGGCAGGAATGCCGAATCCGTGGCTTAATTCTGCTGCGCTGACCCCTAAGGATCTTTCAGCTGGCTGGTGTCGATGTCGAGGCAAGGACACCGTGCTGTTTGCCTGCTTTGTGCAGCATGTCGAAAATAGCTGTAAGAAGTAGAAGCAGGCGGGTTTTATGGATGCTTCCAGCTGCCTTGATGCACGTCAGGAGCACGAGTTAGTTTCAGATGTCTACGATCGTTGCGTTGCTCCAGACGACGAGGGAATCTTGCTCTCTTTGGAGCTGCGGTTGGTTGCTCAGTTGGTCTTACATTGTCTCATACATATACTGATGCTTGTTTGAAGGCTCACTTGACTCTCTGTGTCTGAAAATGCTATAAGGAGCGAGGATGTTCCACCACTGGCCGCGGGTGCTGGGCTCAGAACACTCGCTGCAGCATGATGGTCAGCTACCTGTCGCCGTAATCATGCATTATACCTGGGCCAATCGCCTGTGCTAAGGCGATTGCAAACCTCCGGAGCTCAGCGAGAAAGCCGAGGATTTACGTTTTTCGCAAGCACATTCAACCCCCAACAGCCAGCTGGAAGGAGGTCAGCTTCTCACCGCCTTCAGCCGAGGAGCAGACTTTTTTGGATACGGCAAACTGTCAAGGTTGTGGGACGGCAAGCAAACGAGCCAGTATCTGTTTGGATGCGCGGTCACCGGCCCATCCGCCCATTCACTGCGTGAGACTCCCCACAGACCATCACCACATGTCCCCATGATAGCCACTACGAGTACCCACGCGATTGGTATTGTAAAGGCAACGGTAGCATTGGTAACCCTGTGGATGCTGTGAGCCGACCTTCATAGCTGTAATCTGCACCCGTACACAGGCGACGGCGGAGTTAGTCCACAGGTCAATCTGTCGTAAGTTACATGGCGAGCCGCTCAATTGGGGACGGGAGAGTGTCAGAGATGCTACTGATGATCTGTTCAGTGAAGCGAAGTTAGGGGACAGTCAGTCTTCCTCATAGTTCCATGTTTGAGCTATCGGCACTGCATCCGGAGTTGATGCCAAAGACGGTTCCAGCTCCCACGAAGGAGCTGCGAGTTCTGGAGCAGCAGCTCATTCAGGTCAACGTGGCTTTCGGAGAGGCCGATGAACAATCAGTGCGATCACATGTCCGGATGTCAGATCCATGTGTCCCGCGGCATCTTCTATCCTATTTAATACCTACTTCCACTTTGACTGCAATAGGAATCCGCAGACGAGCCCTGAGGCAAGAAAGGCGCAGCAGCTCGCTGCGGGAAAGTTGGCAGAAGAGGCAGTACCGCGATCTGCTGTGTCAGAACACCTCATGCATCCCTGGTGGCCTTAGTTGTTCAGTCTTGCGCTGGGTACGGCGTTTTTTCAATCCGGGGGGAGGGGTCTGCACAGCAGCAGGAAGAGCGCGCATGGGCGGCGGAAGAGAAACCTGGCAGATTGAGATGCATCTGACACTTATGAAGGCTGTTGCGGGCACATAATGAGTGGCGTTTTAGGTCTCCATGAGCGCTCGGCATGGAATACTCGTTCATCGCCGACAAGCTGAGGAGGGCACTGAAAGCCGACCAAGAACTTGCGATGCGATGCCAGGTGCAGGGCATGCCAGCTGAGGTAGCAGCTAGCTATTGTGCTTGTGCCAAGGCAACATAGGTAAGGCAAGTGGCCACGGCAGTTGCATATTGTCTGGAGCGGACACAGGGCTTTGGAGCATGTTGGAGCAGCTCCGTGCCAGCAGTAACATGAAGACCGACCAGGCGCACAAGCACGAAGTGGAGGTTTTCCAGAGCGAGATTGCAGAGGCCACTGCCATGGATTCAAAGCTCGGAAAAGAATGGGAAGCAGTTGAATGCAGTTGCTGGCTGCCAGGCCAGGCAAGCTCGGGAGGCTTTGGAGTTGAAGCTGGCCAAGGGAACAGAGGAAATCGATGCAGCACGGCCGATGGAGACCCGTCGAAGAATGTCAAATGTCGAGCTCGCTCAGGCATTGCGGCTGCATGTGGACTGGCTCGAAGATGCCCTTCAGAGCGCCAAGCAGGCAGGGAGGGGGACTTCCACAGAACGTCAACTGCAGGTCGTTCTGATATGCCCTGCAGGACTCCAGCAAAATGGCAGAGCTGCAGAAAAGCCTTAAGGAATCGCAAGAAGCTTTGGCAGTTGAAGCCAGGAAGAGTCACGCTGCGCAGGCACCTCGAGTCGACTCCTGCGTAGTGTGGACTCCGGTGGAAAGAGTTGCCCGTGAGTTGGCACCGTTGCGGTGAAATTCGGTCACGTGCAATGTGCAAGGATAGATGTAGCAGATTTAGTCAGGAGCTGTTTCCAGAAAGGGTCACTGCATTGATGAGTCAATCTCACAAGGTACTCAGGGCACGTGTGAGCGAAAGTGGCGGAGCAAGTCGCAGCCTGTCCAGGAGAAGATCAGCCAGCTGGAGGAACAGTTCCAAGAAGCAGCGGACGGGGAGGCGAAAGCCATGAGAACGTCCCTCAGACAGCAACTTGAGGTAATTACTGAGTTGTTGGTGTCGAGAAGAACCAGGTGAACTTGACTGGTTGCTTTGCAAAATGCATCCTGGTCGCAGTCAGGTACGCTGCCAAGGAGAAGGGCGCCGAGGAGCCTTTGATGCATGTCAATGCATGCACAGTGACCACCCAAGCGGCTGCGAATGCATGGCCTTTCACGGGCAGGAGAAAATCCGCAAGCTGGAGGAATCACTCCATGCGGTTTCCGAGAAGCTGGTCGAAGTTGAACACGAGAAAGCACAACTAGAAAGGCCTGGTAGCCGGTGGTGATGCCCACATGTTTTCTCGAGTTGATTATCAGACGGACTTGATAATTTTTTATGGGAAGAAGACTACAGATCGACCCCAAACCCGGGATAGATGGCCAATAGCTAGCCATCACAGCGTCGCAGTCCGAAAAATCGCGATGTGATAATCGCAATGGCGCAGTAGCACTTGATTTCAAGTTTGATTTCCGACAGCAGCCACCGCGGTCTGCAACAGACGTAGCGGCACCTAGTGTCCGCCGTGTTCGGACATCCAGTTCCTACATGCCGGGTGCCAGCAATCGTAATTGCGCGCGAAAGGAGGTACAGGAAGTCGTTGAAAGCTTGGAGCGTCTTTGTGCACCCGTTGGTTCTGTCAAGTGTTTGGACACTACGGACATGGAAAGGTTCTTACAACGCGGCTGGACCACGACGTTTAACTGTTTAACTTTGCCAGCAATCCGGCCTGGATAGAAGAGCAGCGGGACATAGCAGGACCAAGCACTGACAGAGGAATGAGGAATTTTGAAGCATCTTCGAAATGCGGTGGGCTGGCGTGAGTTCTGGGTGCGGGGTGCTTGGCTTGGATACGAATCGCTGCAGGTTGGCCGGGGTTGGCTCTCCGGAGTCTGGCTAGGGTTAGTATATTCTGGTGTACTGGTGGGGGGGCGGGCAGGAGATAGCAGGGATCAGCAGGGGACTTGAAGATAGTTCGGGGCTGAAGCGGGGAGAGTGATTCGAGGGTTGGAAGCCGCAGTGTTGGGTGCAGGGAAGCCGAGAAGCAGCACCGTAATCCGGATGAAGCCGTAAAGAAGCTCAAGGACCCGCTGCTCGAGTGCCCGCAAGTGCCCGCAGCTTGGAGTCTGCTCGCCCGGCCCAGGATACGGTACTGATCCTGAAGGACACGCTCTCCTGCAAGGAGGAAGACATCGCCGCCAAAAACGCACAAGTCGTGGAAACCATGTGCTGCGGGCCGCATAGAGAACTGCAGCACACTACAGCAGATCCTGATGGCATAGTTGACTGAAGCACTTCTGGTGCTGCAGGGCATGCCTCAAGGCCGTTGAGGCGGAGAACCGACGCTTACAAGCCGAGCTGGAGGCTGCGTGCGAATGCGTCGTTCTGCTGTGGTGGCTTGTCACTATGCTAGCAGGCAGCTGCGAAGGAAACGAGCAAGCTTCAGAAGGACCACGCCCTTGCCAAGGGAGAGGTCTGCGGACTGGTTACAGACTGTGCAAAGTTGCTGCCTGCTCATGTGGTCGGTCAGGTCGATGAGCTGAAGGCTAAGATGCGGAAGAAGGCCCTTGAAGACGAGCTCCATCCAGATAATGCAACCTGCGGTCATGCAGAGCCGGCGTTAGCATTTTCTGCAGTCACCAGGACTCAGAGGACGATTTCGTCAAACTTGGCTGGAACAGTGATGACGAAGTGGAAGAGGTGACAGAGGCAGGGTATTTCGGATTTTGGGATTCAGACCACGACAGTGGTTTGCCATGTAGGTGCCTTTGTGCAGCATGAGAAGATGCGATGGATACGTTGCCGCATGACTCGCCTGCTGCGGTGACTGCAGCCGGAGGACTTCGGCTTCCAGAAGGTGTACAGCGCTTCCGCCGCGTCGGCAGCTGCTGCATGAGTTCCCCGGAAAGAATGGAGAGGATGCCGGCAGTGGTGCCTGAATTGAATCGAAGTGATGATAAGTCATGAAGAGCATGAAATATACCGTCACGACTGCCGCAGTGGCAAGTCTTGGATGCAGGTGCCTGTCCAACGCTTTTGAGTGCGTTAGCGGCCAGCGACGTCGCCGTGGTTGGTAGCCGGGTGATTATGTTGTGCAGTCCTTCTCACCTGTTCCAGCACCGCGTTCATTCTATCGCGCTTGGCTTTTGCAGTCTTTTGGGTATGTTCTGCAAGCTGCAAACTCGTGTGGAATTGCTGCCCTAGATAAGAAAGGCACCTTCTGCGAACAGAAGCCTGCTGCGGCCAAGATTTCCAGGGAGCTGATGGGAAGCCTTCATTTCATATCAGATGTGGGCACATTGTCTCCTGAATGAGAACGTGCCATCATGCCCACTTCGTCCTGATGCAGAAAGCGAGGGTGATACTCAAAAGCCCTTCAGCTCCCGTCCTGGGTGAGCGTCTCCTTTGCAGTTCGCCCTCACCGAGTACCCTGAAATCCAGTTAGTGCAAACTCCGGTGATGCTCGCAGAAGCAGGCACCCGCCAAGAGTCTGGTACAGGCACCTATGGCGCTGCACGGAAAACCGTTTGCAACACCTGTGTCGAGAAGCCAAAGCATGGTTGCAACATCCCTTGTGTATATAATACTGGCGAGGCAAGGGTATGGACCAGGCTGACGTCGAAGTTCAACTGGCATATTGGAGAGAGTGCCACTTGGAGACAGATAGTCTCGTCTTCGCCAGTAGGCTCTTCTGACCTGCGCTTGCTGTCAGGCGTTGACAGCTTGCGCCTGGTTCCCAGAAAAAGGTTTTTCGTTTTTTCAGAGTGCGTCTGGCAGAGGGGAGTGCCAGGGAGTGCTTTGAAAGGCCGTGAAGAGACCTGGCTTGCGGAAGAGTGCCAGGGCCCCATGCATCTCATCATTCATCATTGTCCCATGTGTCGGCCGCCAAGATGTTTCAGCAATTTTCAGCATGAAACCACGTAATTTTGTTGACTGGTTGTTGGTGGTCAGGTCGCACTTCTGAAGTGGAGAACGAGGTTGCAACCAGTCTTTGCTAAACACGCCTAGCTCGAGCAAGTGTCCAATGAAGCGGACATGGCAGAGCAAGAGTACGACGCAGCTGCAACACAAAGCCTTCAAGTTGAAGCCCAAGTATGTTGCGCAGGCACAAGAAAGGTCTCAGATGCAAGCAGTCGGCCAATTGCAGCAGGCACGAGCGCCAGTAACTCGAGTTACATGTCGAAGTACGCGGCACAGGAGTTACGGAGCGAAAGCCGGGCTAGGCTCGCCCGCCGCTGCCGCTGCCACCGCCCCTCGTTTCCGCTCCCCGCTGCAGGCGGTGGGCCTGAGACGGCTTGAGAACAGTCTTTTCCTTGCTGCTCTAGCTGCAAAGTCACAGCTGGATGGCAAGACACCGAGCACCGCTTGCTTCCCGGCTTAGAAAAACTCGTTGGCTCGCTGGCGCAGAGAGTCGGTACTGAAGTGACTCTGAAGCAGCCATCGCTCGCAGGCACTTCTCGCTGAGATGGTCCAGAAGCAAATTGCACCGGACAACAAAGCCCACTCGCTGAGGATTTCAGCGTGAGCCGGATGAAGTACATGTAACAAATCATAGTAGCTGTCCTGTTCTGCTTCCATGTGCTGCGCGGATCACGGATGATCAGAATCTCGTGGCCGCCTGTTCTGCCTCTGGGCAGGTACGCCAATGCACGGCCGAAGCGTGTGGAGGCTACTTGTAGCATCCGCAGCTCCCTGTGTCCCTCGCTTCGATTCCGCCATGTGTTTGCCAGCCCATTGCCAGGATGCGTGCCGAGCCTTCTCGGAGTTGCCCCGAACCCATCAGCGCGAGTCCAAGGGTGCAAAATGGCTTTGTTGTGCGTGATTCTCAAACGTGGCCAAGGACGGATCTCTTGGTGCAAGCTGCCATGAAGCGCTGCTTGGGACCCGAGGCAGGACGACTGTGCAAGATGTGGGGTGGTTGTCGAAAACGCTGTCCGGATCTGGCCAGGCTGCAATCAAGCTGTTCCGACAGGTACTGTAGAGCCCGAGCGCCAAAGACGCGCTCGCTTTTAGCAGCCATAGACTCCATAGACCTAAGTCTGCAGCCGCGGCAGCCGCAGAGAAAGCTATACGGCTTGTCAGCTGCATGCAGTGCCGAAGTTGTCGCAAGTGCTCAGCCTCTTGTAAACTGCTTGTTCTGGTCGCTGCCCTCACCCATGCTGATCGGCAGCGCTGCATGCCTCAGTGGTTCAGCGAGCTTTCAGAGTGCAAGCCACTGCTCAGGCAGACTCAGATGTATTGGGGTTTTGGTCAGTCTAGTCCTGCCAGGCGAGGAATAGAGGCTCAAAGGCTGATGTTGGTGGGCCCTCATCCTCAAGGGGCCAAGAGCCTTCGAATGGCAGCCAGGCTATCCATGAGAATGGCTCGGTGACATTGACATGCATGTGCTGCCGCTGGCCTTCTTTGCCATCTCTGCAGCGGCCGACTTGCGGAGAGTGCGTCTGCGCAGTGGAGAGTATCCTGCAGCGATTTCCAGTCAGGATGTGGACGAAACGCTGGCCCGGGTGGGTGGCCTCGGGGGTAGTCCCATGCCAGCAGGCTGCCATGCATGGCTCCATCGCCCAGACGATTTGCAAAACGATAGTGACTTCCATCCGATGAAGCTTGCTTCCACCGTCCTGATTCTCGCAGGCCCAGTGGGCCTCGTGGGCTTTGAACAAGTCTTAGATCGGACGGGTTCGAGAAGCGGTGAATGGCTCGTACCGAGTGCAAACGGCCGTTACGTACCAGATCACCGGAGATACAGCCGTGGTGGAAGTTTGTGGGCATTTAACTGGCAGCTTCGAGGGGAAAGCACTGAAGAGCTGGCAGATGGTGAGCAGACCACGTGGCTGGGTCGTGCTTTGTCGCTGGTCGCGGCAACCAGGGCCACAGCAGAGACTTGTAGTCTTTAGTGCATTTCCCGGTTTCTAACTTGGGTCTAGAACATGTAAACCAATGCTTACTGACAGTTTCCCAAAGATGAGTTGCATAAGAGCGGTGCAAGCGCTAGTTACTGGAAAATGGAAAAGGCCGCAGGCAGCATCCCAACAGCTACTGTACGTCTACTAATTCCACGGAACTACTACGAGGTCCGGCAACTAGTTGTGGATGCGGAAGGTCATGTCAAACCAGTACCGTTAGAACCTGGGATGACGTGGCGGGTTCCAACCATGTCCTGGGGTATCCGCAGCAAGGAAGGGCGCCTAAACCCTGTTACAGCGCTGTCGGCAGCAGCTCCATGGTGCTTGGACTCCAGCTCTTGGCTGGAGATTCTCTTGCGAGGATGGCAGGGAGTGCTCCATGCTCAGAGTCGAGTGCATCCGCCCAGTTCAGAGGTCGAGCCGGCTGTCGATTTTGCGAGGTTCATCGCGTTGTCACTTCTGGCAGAACAAGTCTGCCATTCCTCCGCCGGAGGCTGCGAGCATGCTTGGGAGACTTGGCCGCATGAATGGCTTCCGGGTCCAGAGGATTTTGGTTATCTTGCGGGCGCGATTACCCTCCACAGCCTCGAATCGTGTGTGACTTCGTCGAACGACTTGGGGCTTTCTTGCAAAGATTTCAGAGCCGGCACGGGGAGCTGAGAGGGCCTGTAAGGGACAATCCGGGACAATGACGTCGCATGTCTGGTTCCCATGGCAGAGCCCACCTTTCCGAACCTGCGGTCCACCAGACGCTACAGAAGCTCTAAACCATTAAACTTCTCTCCTAGCAAACTTAAGACCCCAAGGCCCCAGCCTTTGAGGGGCGCTACCAAATGTAGAGACACCCAGTCTCATGGCATGCTTGTAGTTCTGCCCAGTCATTCAACTTCACAGTTCTTGGGGTTTTGGCATTGCTTCTTGCAGATTCCCCACTGACTGTATCTCACCGAATGCACGGAATCGAAATTGACGGGTTGAGCGGATTTGTAAACAAACATTGCATGTGCGTCATGAGTCTTGGCTGTTGGCAGATCATGCGCACGAGCCTCCAGGAATCAGATCCAGAAGATCGAGGCCAGGCAAGGCATCAACTTGGGCAGTGGACTGACCGGGCCATGAGACCACGAACCTTGTTTGTTAGATCCAAAATCCTGTCATGCGAAAGGCTCCAGCCATGCGACGTTTCCCTGTGCTGCCCGTTCGGCGCTGGCCACCTGTCAGTTTTGTGTGACTTGCCTGGTCGTGGCCTCGGGCCCTCGATCTCATTCAGCGAAGGCAGTGCTGCGGCAAGTGCCAAGCCCTGAAGCGCCAGCGCCGGTGCTGTCCCTCCTTGCCGAGCTACTGCGCGGTTGCAGCCTCTCAGAGGCAGCCGTCACCATCTCTCACGCAAGCAAAAGCTCCTCTGGAGTTAGCGGGAGTTGTTCTGTACAGATTTGGTTTTAGGCCGCACGAGAATGGGGGGGGGGCATTGCTCCTGATACGTATATCAGGATTATCAGAGATCTGATTTAAGCATCGGCACGGGGGCCCCCACTCCCTGCCTTGAGTCGTTGAGGCCCCCATTGCCAGGCAGCAGAGCTGCTATCATTCGGCAACATAGCCGCCGCGTACATCAGCACAACTGAAGACAACAGCATTGCCAAAGACTCTTCACGTTCACTGCAGGCATCTTATCCGATGACTTGCCGACAAGCACAAGCATCGACAAGTTTGAAGGAGGGTAAGCAGTGGTTTCAGAGCTGTTTCTTCCATGAAGGAACGAGCTTCGCCACGTTCGTGCAGCGCACGCTTAGGTCTTCTGGCATCACATGTGTACTCAATTTCTCCGGCATTGCAACACAGCATACAAAGAGCGCGACCGTTCATCAGCCTCAGCTCGCATTGCAGCGCACTGCTACCCCTTGTGTCCCCCTAGCTTTCGTCCGCTTTGCTTTCAAGTTGTCAACATGAGGACAGCTCACGCGATGGCTTCTGTACTGTACTGTATGTGCGAGCGAGCTAGTGTATATATTTATGACGATGGCTTATGCATGTTTGCATGTCTTCCTGTTTGTTTGGCTGTCTGTCTGTCTGTCTGTCTTTCTGTGTCTCTCTCTGTGTGTCTGTCTGTCGGTCGGTGAGTCTGTCTGTTTCCGTGTCTGTGTATGTATGTGTGTATGCATGCATGCATGCATGCATGCATGCATGTATCCATCCATATATATATATATAGCCAAGTGGGAGCCAAAATATTATATATGTATATATATATCTCTCTCTCTCTCTCTCTCTCTCTCTCTGTATCTGTATCTGTGTGTGCGCGTATGTCTGCGTGTTTACGTATACGTGTACGTACATGTACAGCTATATGTACATGAAATGAATGAATGCATGAATGGACGGAATGGAAAGAAATCAAGTGAGGTGACTGGAATGAATGAACGAAGGACGGAAGGAAGGAATGAAGGATGAATGAATAAACAAATGAAATGACATGAAACGAAAGGAATGACAATGAAATGAATGAGTGGAACTAGATGGAATTGATTGGAATGAGATGATATAAAATGGAATGAAACGGAACGAAATGGAATGACATGGAACGAAATGGAATGAGTTGGCACGAAATGGAACACAATGGAGCGATATGGAATGAATGGAAATGACATAAATGAATGAATGAGTGCATGAAATGAACGAATGCATGGAATGGATAAGTGAGTGAAGCAAGTGAGTGAATGGATGATTGGGTGACATATATGTATGTATGCATGCATGC